GTCAAAATGACATTCACAACATTCACATGCTTTCACGTCTGAAAGTAACGACCAAGACTGATAAACCTGCTTATGCTCAAAAGCCAGTAGGGAAATACAGGGGGGAAAATAGAACAAAATGTCTTTTTAGAGCACGGCCTTACTAAATTTTGGTTGGCTGCTTTCTGTTTGGTGAGCTTTATACACTGAAAAGGATGATAACACATTGAAAACAAATTTTAAAGAAAAGTTTCAGGAGATGTATCAAAGATTTTGTCCTTTATCTTTCAGGTGTTACAGGCCAGGAAGAACTAGATAAGCTTCCATGACTGATAAACTTGTTCATGTTCCAGGGTCAGTGCCAAAGGAAGTAATATAACAGTACCTGACTATGGATTCTATAAAAAAAAGGTCTTCTCGCAGATGACAGAAAGAAGAAGTGGACGCTGATGCAGCCGCATCTGAACATTATGTTTCAGTCACACTGTGTTTAACAATGATGCGTAAGATTTTTCTGCTTCTGGTCAAGGAAAAAGCATACAATGTTGATGACCAGAGCAGCACAAACACAGTGATGTTCTAACTGAACAAAACATGGAGGAAACCTTCAACTTATCTAAGCTTATCGACACGCCTTATTCTGTAATAAACTGGAAGCAAATTCTATAAAATTGAGACCCCCTATGCATAAAATTATCCAGTTTAATTTGACATGTTTCAGGCCCCCCGTGTGACACGACTGTCTGAGTATTGGTCCTATCATCTGGAGATCGCCAGCTTGGCCCCTGGTAATGCCACAGCCATCTGTGACCAGGAGTCCAAGACAGCATCATTGGCCTCGCTGTGGTTGGCCCTCCCTCTCCTGTCAATCACAACACAAATGTGTGTTAGCTGCCATAACAGAATTGGTAGTTAGTGTTGTCTTTTAGGCATGTTTAGCTGTCCAGTGAAGTTGTAGTGGTTGGCTTCACATGCCTGGGAGGAAGCTCATGCTGGCCTTCATTCTCCCAGCTTGGTAGCACTATGTGATAGGGAGAGATCTAGCTATTGGGTGGGAATTGGACATCAGCACCTTTAATCAACATAATTGTACCATAATCCATTGAAATTGTGTTTTCTAAGTTGTACTGACTCCACACACCCCGTCTCATCTCCAGGCTTTTTTTATTGTTCTGTTTTAACACATTAGGATATGAAAAGGTACAAATATGTACTTTTCACCTGGGGAAAACATATTTAAGGTGCACAATTGGACCTTAAAACCACTGTTGTACCTTTGAGGGAACATTTACATTGTATGTACCTTGATGAACAAAAAATGTACCTGCACAGAACCTTTATTTCTAACAGTGTATGAGGAAGAAAAGTATCAGCATCAGTCTGGTGAGGTAAGGTGTAAACCGGTTTCTTAAGATAGCTCCTGTCCATTTTAACCCACTCTTCCATGAACTTTGTGCTTCAAGACCTAATATAACACAGCATTGACACTCCCTCATTCCAGGCTGACAACTGTAGGGTGTCTTTATGTGACTAGATCACCAGACATGTTGGAACAGTGGGACATTTTGAGCAAAATCACCAGACCTCAATCTCAAATCAGAACATCAAGTGAAGCACTGAAATAGGCACACACAAACTCTAGCACCAAGTTTAGAGATTGGTGTAACTTTTAACTGACAGGATTGGTCCTGTTGTTAAGGGAAAGGGATGTGTAACCAAGTATTAGGAAAAAAATGATGCATGATGCAGGTTTTAAAGGTATACAACAGAAGGTTAAAATAAACCACAGCACTACTAATTACAAGCAGCCATCTAAAAGCGCCACTGGAAAACATGCTTTTATTCATACACAATCTCTTCATTCCATCACTGTGATTCAGTGTTTTCTAATTCCATACTGGCACATTCTGTGGCTTCTGAGCTGTTTCTAACCACATGATTGACAGCTATTGTGTTCTGGTTGCTAAGGATGACGTGCAGCACTGACGGAGCTGGATGGCTGTCACAACACTGATGAGTGGGTGAGGGCGTGCGGCGCTGTGTCCACGACAATGGCTTCCATTCTTCTGTCCAAAACAGTGCCTCTCCTTAAGGCGCAATTGTCATCCTTACTGTCCTTTCCTCTGTACCACCCCGATACAAGCAGCTTGAGGGAAAATCAGACAAAGCCATAAACGTTATTGATGGGAGGGAGGAGGATCTGTCACACTCATATGCAGTGGCGAGCACAATGTGACGGCAACGATGAGTAAGGCAACGGCGCATATTAATGATCCTCAATGACAGCATCTATAGAAGCCACAAATTTCATAACGCAAACCCTCAAAAACACAATTTTGTGGGAAGAATCTATATGTTGTTGTTTTTTTGGGTGGTTACTCTGTCATGTTGCAATCTGGTCGGTTTGTTTCCTTGGCACTGAGCCAGCATGTGCATCTTACAATCATGGGATCATTTCTAGGGCAGATGATTGATGCCTGTGTTAAGTCTTTGGGCTTGTGGTTAAAGGAACACCCCAACATTTTTCAACCTAATCTCTAGCTGACACATCTCTAGCATATGGTCGTCTACCATGGACAATCATTTTCCTGTACTTAGAGAGCTGACTTGTAATAAAATAATAGAGATCAGTGAGAAGATGAAAAGCAACTACACATACAAGTCACAATCAAATCAACAGGTTTTCTGTTCTTTATTAAAAACAGAGAAATGTGTCAAAATGATTTTCCATGATAATCAATCCCATGCGACAAATGGAGATCATAGTGATTAGGTTGAAAAATGTTGGAGTATTCCTTTAATAATATCTCTCCTACAACTATCATATTGACATCCACTGTGGTTAGGGACCTGACATTACCTGACATAAAAAGAAAACATGATTTGGATCAAATTTTGCTTCCATGAGTCATTTACAAACAGCCTTGCTTTGAAGCTTGTGAGGGTTTTTTGAAAAATGTGAAAGCTGGGCCAAATCTAGTCCTTTGGGGGCCCTGAGCAGGATTTCAGTACTGTAAAATTAATGCTTGAAATAAATTCTGTGGATTTCCGTAAAAGAACAATCATTTTCTGTACCATAAAGCTGTTCTGTAAGCACACCAACTTCTTTAAGAAACAAGCATCTTATGCTTGTCTGTCTAAGCAAAATATTTTAACACCTTTCCTGGCAGCTGCGTCTGGCTCCACCATGGTTTCTTGGTTTTTTAGCACCTCAGCTTAGTGTTCTTGCAAACTCTATATTTTCTTTGTACTGGCTAAACTGCCAATCATGTATGCTTTTAAATGCCATGCTTAAAAGGCCCTCCTGACCCCAGAATAAATGAAGTGTGTTCCTGAACATTGAGACACCTATGTCGTTTGTTCTAGCACACTCCCGGAGCTCAGAGGAGAAGAACCAGATAGAGTGAGGTGGTGGAGGTATCAGAGAAGGGGACAAGAGGAAAAAATTCCTTACAATCCTCGTTTGGAGCTGTAAAAAGTTACAATTTAAATAAAAGATAAACTTCTCAGAGTTCTCCATCCAGGGGTCTGTCTCACAACACAGTATTTCTGGTTTACCTGTCTAACTTTAATCTTAATTCTGATAGCAGTGGTGACAGCATTTTTCATCACTTTTTCACTGTTTCATATGATTTAATTTCTACAGTTTAGGCTGTATGATTTCTTTTCCCTCTTTAGCGACTCCTCCTCCTGTTTCACGTGTTTGTCATAAATATCACACTGTCATGTGCACAGATATTAGGATTTATCACAGCCTAGGTATCTAAAGCTGGATTAAACGCCTGAGTATCTCAATCTGCATTAATCACAGCTTGAGTATCTACACCTGGATTAATCACAACCTGACTATCTAAACCTGGATTAATCACATCCTGAGTATCTAAACCTGGATTAATCACAGCCTGACTATCTAAACCTGCATTAATCACAGCCTGACTATCTAAACCTGCATTAATCACAGCCTGACTATCTAAACCTGGATTAATCACAGCCTGGGTATCTAGATCTGGATTAATCACAGCCTGACTATCTAACTATCTAAACCTGGATTAATTACAGCCTGAATATCTAAACATGGATTAATCACAGCCTGGGTATCAAGATCCCGATTAATCACAGCCTGGGTATCAAGATCCCGATTAACCACAGCCTGACTATCTAAACGTGGATTAATTACAGCCTGAATATCTAGATCTGCATTAATCACAGCCTGAGTATCTAATCCTGGATTAATCACAAACTGAGTATCCAAAAGTGCATTAATCACAGCCTGAGTATCTAAACTTGGATTCATCACAGCCTCAGAATCTAAACCTGCATTAATCACAGCTTGAGTATCTAAACCTGGATTAATCACAGTGTGAGTATCTAAACCTGCATTAATCACAGCCTGACTATCTAAACCTGGATTAAATAAATGTGTATCTAAACGTGGATTCATCACAGCCTGAGTATCAAACCTCTACTAATCACAGCCTGAGTATCTCAACCTGGATTAAACAAAGCCTGTGTATCTAAATGTGGATTCATCACAGCCTGAGAATCTAAACCTGCATTAATCACAGCCTGACTATCTAAACCTGGATTATTTAAAGCCTGTGTATCTAATCCTGGATTAACAAAGAAAGTTGTTAACCACTGTTGTCAAGAGAGTTCACTGTGGCTGTGTTTGTTTTCATGAAGCTGAAATTCAGCCAGAGAGCCTGTTTAAGTTAATCCTGCTTCATTAGATGGACCCCTTTTCCAGCACTTCTTGTTCTTCTTATAAACCAAAACCAATTAGAAAAGCATCTATACATAATGGTGCAGTAATATCCTAGGAGTTGTTAGCGAGCACTTGGTGTCTACAGGGCCCTAAGCAGCTACTTATGTCGCTTTTCATGTGCAGATTTCTCACTAATAAACAGTCTAATAATAAGCAGTGTCCACTCTCAGGTCACGTATTCTCAGACTACATAACAAACACTGGCGCTGTTCTAAACCCCTCTTTCTCCTCTGTGGTGGGAGTGCACCGTTACTCACGCGGCCATCCCGTAGGAGGAGCAGCGCTGACCAGCGGAGAATAAGCGAAGTGCATCAAACAGCACAGCCACTTTTTCATCAGCACAGCTTTTGGGATATAATCACTTTAGAAGCCGAAAGCGGGAGAGCAAACCGTCTTGTTGACATTGTTTAGGCTGCAGGTCGCAGTTTCAGCACCGGTCATCATGGCAGCGCTGACCAGCGGAGAGGTGTGCATCAAATACCTCCTCTTCGTCTTTAATTTCGTCATTTGGGTGAGTTTCAACAAACACTTGCGTTCACTTTGCTGTATTTAGGAGTATATGAAGGTTTATCTGCTTTGCACTAATAAGCGTGTTATATTAGCTAGTAGCTCATATCCACACCCCCTTACACTACCGGTCAACAGTCTGGAATCACGTGTCATATTGTTATTAACAGTAATTTTAATGTTAATTTATATTCAGTAATAACTTACACAATGTAGACCTAAACATTATAAACTAGACGGCAAATTGTTTGATTATATATTAAATAAGTACTGTGGGGAAAAAGTTATTAAATGATAAGACATATACTGTTATGATCTGTACAATACTGTTTGTCCTTTTTCATATAATGCCAAAAAATGCATTTCCCATCTGTTTTGGAGGAGCTCCCTCAGTTGAACTGTGCACTTTCGTCTTTAATAAAGTTGATGGAATACAAAAGTTTGGGCACTCCTGAAAATATTTTTTTTAAAAATCCTATTTTGTTGATTTTCTAAGTGAAAACAAGTCAACACATCATCTACTGAAAACACACTGCTCGATTTAATGCACAACTACTGTGTATTTGCTGAATTGAACTGTCACACTTTATCTTGATGGTCCTCTACAGATGATCTACAGATACTTCAATTATTAACTTTCTGTTGATACTTAGTTGATTATTAACCATATTGTGGAGAAGGTTTGGTCTATGAGTAGGTGGGTTCTGTGTTGAAGTTAAGGTTAGGTTTAGGTTTAGGATTAGGGTTAGATTTAGAATCTATCACACTCAACTTTAAGTTCAGTTGCATTTAATAGAATATAGTTGAATGTTACTTAAAGACAGACTGAGCATCTACAAAGCATCTACAGTGGCTCTATCAAAATAAAATGTTACCAGAATTTGCAGAAACATGCCATAGTGTGTTCCTTATTGGATGTGTTCACTTATTTTCACTTAGAAAATCTACAAAACATGTAATATGACTGAGGGGTGTTCAACCTGTTGCATACCACTGTGTATTTTAATGAATTGAAATGTTTTTTTTGTGATAGTTGTACAGGATTGTTTGATATGAAGGAAGCTGCAGGTTTGCTGTCTGTTTTATGTCAACATGACCGTCTTTGTGGAGAGGTGTGAATTGTTTTTACAACCCTCTGCTTTCATCCATCATTGCTCATCAGCAGCTCAACACAGAGTCACGACATTTCACACACAGATAGCCAACAGTGTTCTAGTTAATTTAACAACATTAAAGTTGGAGAAAGATATTTTATTTGATTACATTAATTGAAAAAAAATATCCAAGTTGATTTCCATTCTGATGGTGGGATGGCCACTAGAGGGCCTGCAGAGGGAAACTATGTTACCTGATTTGAGATTTGATTCCTTTTGATATACAAGGCATTATTTCTTCATGTTCTTGACTTCATTCTTGTTGCTATAGAGCTTTCTCAGTCATTGTCATGTCATCCCGAATGGAAACATCTGGCTTAGTGGAACTGGTACACACATATATTAGCAGCTATAAAAATAGAAAAAAGTAAGCAACACACTTATGAGTTCAAAGGGACAGCAAGTCATGGCCAGCTAGACCAGATTCTGCATATGATGCTGTGGACATGTTCAAGGTTAAGGCGAAAGTTGCAAGAGATCAGTCTGGGCCTTTACACACAAAGTATTTGCTGATATCTGTGAAACCTGCAGATTATGTTTCTCCACTGTTTGCGCCCACGATAGTAGATTGCATTGCACTGAAGCAATGTCTGTGGTCTAATTTCTGTTAAGTTGCTGATAGTTGTTTTATAACTTGTTGAAGGGGGAGGATGATTTGTATGTCCAGCTCCTGTTTAAGGCTATATTTTCTGCAGCTTTGTTATTCCATACTCATTTCCATATGTGGTAATTTGATGAACAAGGTGGGGGGGGGGCAATAATTGTACAGTTAGAGATGGACTACTGTCAGCAATTGTAAACCTACAACGCGTACCTGTACAGTAGGTGCACCTAGTAAAATGGCCAATGAACAAATATTGGCACTCCTGGTAATCATGAGCAAAATGAGCTGTAAGCCAAAATCTAAACTTTATTTGAAGTCCAATGATTGAAAAAAACTAAATCTTGTCATAAAAAAGAAATTCTTAAATGTATGTATGTGACAATTATTGGCACACCTAGAAACTGAAGTATATTCCCATTCATATTTTGTTTTTTAGTTCACCTAAGCGATTAGGAACACTTACATGGTCAGCCATGACCTTCTAATTTACGGGGGAATATATATGAGGTGAAACACCGGCCAAATTCCCTCAGTCATCCATCGTTATGATAAAGACCTGAGAAAACAGCAGTGATGTATGACAAAAGGTTGTTGGGCTGCACAAATCAGGAAATGGCTACAAGAAAACAGTTAAACAGCTGGAAATGCCCATTTCCACTATCAGGTCAATAATTACGAAGCTTAAAGCAACTGGAGATGTTAAGAATCTGCTGGGAAGTGGACATATATCTATACTGACCCCACGCACAGTGAGGAGGATGGTTTGAGTGGACAAAGAATCTCCAAGGATCACAGGTGGGGAATTATAGACATTAGTTAGGTCTTGGGGTCACAACTTCTGCCAAACTACAATCAAACACCACCTATATAACCACCAAGTTGTTTATGGGGGGTTGCCAGAAAGAGGCCTCTGCTGTCAATGACCAACAAACTCAACTCCTACAGTTTACCAAACGTTACTGGAACTTTCAGTAAGACCGTGTTCTATAGTCAGATGAGACCAAAATAAAGGTTTTTGGCAACAAACACCAGAGGTGAGTTTGACATGTACACAAAGACATGCATGCATAAAAATACCTCATCCTCATTGTGAAGTATGGTGGTGGATCTGTGATAATGTGGGGCTGTTTTTCTTCCAAAGGTCCTGGATATTTAATTCAGATACACAGTATCACTGACTCAATCAAGTACCAGCAGAAATAAAATCAAAACCTGACTGCATCAGCCAGGAAGCTTAAACTGGGCCATAGTTGGATCTTCCAGCAGGACAGTGATACAAAGCACACCTCAAAATCAACCCAAAAATGGTTCACTGACTACAGAATTAAGGTTTTGCCTTGGCCACCCCAGACCACTGACCTAAACCCCATAGAAAACCTGTAGGATGAGTCCATAAGTGTAGACCTCAGAATCTGAAGGATCTGGAGAGGTTCTGTATGGAGGAATGCTCTCAGATCTTTTGCCATATGTCTCACTAAGTCTCCTTCAGCATTATAGGAAAAGACACAAACCTGGTAGCTTTGCAAATGGAGGCTGCACAAATTATTAAGTGAAGGGGTGCCAATAATTGTGGCACACAGATTTGAGAGAAATATTTATTTTCTGATAAGATTTAGGTTTTTTCAATCAATGTACTTCAAAAATGTTAGATTTTTATTAATATTTTGTGTGAAAGATCAAAAGGATAAGCAATAAAGAAGCTTCTTTACAGCCTGTTTTGCTCATGTTTACCAGAGGTGCCAAAATTTGTGAAGGGTGCTGTATATACTAGGAAACAGAAAAGTATCATAGGCTCAGCATAGGGTTGTCCAATGTATCGCTCCTTAATCATTATCACGACATCAGCCTTTGCAATATCAATATCATTAAAGTGTGCAGGAGCCTCTAACCGATCTCACACAATGTTTTATTGTGTGCTGTGAGAATCCTGACCAATCCCAGATGTTCTGTGGCTGCTGGGTTGAATCAAGTCATCCACATGATCTGACAAACAGATTATTTTGGTAAAAAGAAGAGGAAGAAGAAGTAGAAAAAGAAGAAGAAAATTTATTCACGATCAGTTTCCATTAAGATTCAACCAGTGGTCATTCTGAAACTGAAAGTTGTAAGAGGATGCCACTCCCTATCCATTTAACAGCCAACACATGATAAAGCTTCATGAAAAAATGTTCATTCCAATATAATCAATACTCATTTTGGGAAACGGAAAGTGTCAGCAAGCTTAAAGGAGTCAACTCTCTTTAGTCATTTCTAATAGGCCTTGATATGATGCAGTACATGCTTAAAAAGGTGGTTCTACAAAGTTTCTTTAGTCAAAGCAATGATTGTATTTAGGACCATGTGTTCTATATAGAACCATTTCATGCTAAATGGTTCTTTGAAAGGTGAAATAATGCTTCAGATTGATGGAGAATTTGTTGTATATGGTTCTATATAGACAATAGTTCTACATATGTTCACATTTACTCTCAATTACATGTAAATTGTGTATGTATTCATACTTTCCTGATTATTTTTCAAATGATAATACTTTTCTAGCAGCAATTGAGTCTTATGCATAGATGGCTTACATAAAAATATGATACATTATCGCCTTTCCATTCCAACAGAAGAGGGAAAGTAGCTCATTCTCCTCTACTTGTCCATATTTAGCTGTTGAGGCTGTTGGAACAACAGTAGATCCCTCTCTGATTTGTACGCTAACGTCCCCTTGTTTTAAGTTCCACAGTAACATAAGAACGCATGGTGAGTTTTTATAGAAGGACTGAGCGTTTGCAATGCGTTGGCCAAGCACTGTCATTTGCGTTCGCTTACTTGCGTTGAGTATGTTTCTGGCCTCAGGCTACACCACTGAAGGCCAGCCTGTTGACATATAATAGACTACATTAACAATATGGAACTCCACCTTCACACATGTGTACACTGAAAACTACAGCATTACTTTAAAGCACAGTTATGGATTTCATGGTAAAGCCATTTTGTTTACTTTGCAAATTTAGAGTAGTAGATTTATTGTTGAAAAATAGGCCTTAGATATCCTATGTTACATACAAAGCCATCCTTTCTGAATGGAAATCAAAATGAAAAAAGTTTATTTTATTCTATACTAGCAGTGGAAATTTAAGTTTCATTCAATGAACCTGAAAATCATTCCTGGGCATTGGCCCAATGAATCCTGTCAACTGCCAGATTTGGGTTCAGGATTCTGAACCAGACCACTGCAGTCAACACATTTTTGTACCTGCTCCAAATTGTATATGTTTCAAGCATTTAAATGGGGTTCTTTGTGTCAGTGACAGTCAGCTGTTGTAATCAGAGTCCTCTCTGTGAATTTTAGGAAGGCAATCCCTTCCTCATTCCCTTGCTTCAGTGTCTTAAGTTAGAGTTTAAAGGACAGTCATGCCAAAAACTAAAGACAGCAAATAGCAGGGAATGAAAGCCAGCTCTTAGCATGTTAGCACTGTTAGCTGAGTGAGCTCTTTAGCTAACCCTTTTAGTTACGGTGATCCATAGGCTTGTTTTAAATTTTTCATTGTAACTTCTAGAAATCCATTTGTGTGCGTGTGTATATATTTATATCATCTTGTTCTGTACAAGATGGTCCGAATCACAAATTGTCACTGTTAGCAAAACTAGCCTGAAGCAACTGCATGTTTTGTGTTTGATGTGGAAAACTCTGAGGTGAAATTAGAACTTGCTGATCCACCTCATTTTGTGAATATACAAATAGCCGCATTTCAGGTCCAGCAACCCAGTCCCTTATGGTCAAGAGTTTCAGTTCAGAAGCCGTTAGGCCTTTTAGAAGCAGAAACACACCTTATTCACCTTAAAGGGCAATTCCACCATTTTTTCAGAATGAATGCATAATATAGTGGTTGAGATGTAAACAAAGTCATTCAGAGTGGTGGTAAATGATGCATTGTAGAGAAACTTGCCGACTTACCAATTCTGGTAATGACAGGAATCAGGTGTCCCCATGTTTATGAGACAAATATGGCCATTTTATTTACTACCCAAAGAAACAGTGAACCTACTCACGTCTTCTGAGTATTTATATGTAAAGTTTATACAGGTAAAATAGTAGTAAATCTGGAAAAACATGTTTTTTTAAGGGGGGCTATTTTGCCTTGTAACACCCTTCATGTACCCTTCCACCATTAATGGCTTTTAAAATATATATTTTAGGCCAAAACCTTATCTCAGAAATGTTGTTTGACAATGTCTCAGGCATCAGGCAGCATATTTATAGCCATTTCACATAAAAACGTCCTGTGAGGGAGCTTTTACGTTTCAGATGTCTGGTTCCTATCCTCACCACTATAAACAATTCTGACTCAATAAGTATCTCTAGAATTGAGCGCTTCACGTCAAACCACTCTGAATGACTTTTAGTTTATATGCAAATGATTTAATTATGCAGAACTGTTGAAAATTCATTGGAATTCCCCTTTGAGCTCCCCATTCTTTTTCTTCAGAACTGAAGAACGGAACAAGACTTTCTGCTCACCTTGTCTGTGTTGTTCTTGTGTCAAAAACAGGCTTGTTTATGCATCAAGCATTATTCATTTTTTAGATGTACACAGATAAGCAGGCTTTCCAGAACAAATTCTATCAAGTGAATACAAGTCAAATACCTCTATAAACACACAGCCTAAGAGTAAAAGAAGCAGCAAGAACAAATTATTTGAGTTTGTACAGACAAAATAGGCATTCACTTTACAGATCCTGGGGTTCTTTTTGACCTGAACTGTGAGACATTAGGCTTGTTAGGCCTTATTCACACATGCTACCTCTGCGTGGCATGAGCGATGTGGCTACAGGTTGAACGCGCTGGCCTTTCATACATACAGCATTTGAGCTGTGGAGCGGAGCAGCGACATTCATTTTTCCAGATAAATGTTCAAATCATTCACTATGCTCAACAAAAATATAATTTATGAAAGTGCATAGTATATTTGTTTGTCGTGGACAGCATTCTGACTTGTGATTAGGAAAAAGTTTCAAGCATGGTAGACCAACCATGAAATCTGTTTGCAGCTCAGAATGTTTAGTAGTTCATCATGAATTAAATAATAAAAAAAAAAAAACTTAAATGGCCCAGCATTAACTGCTGAACGGAAAAAAATTCAAACAAGAAGCTGGCGAATGTCCTGAGAAAATGTCCTCAGAAAATGTTACCAGCATTTAAATAGTAATTAGGATATTTTGATAGCCTAAATCAGCTTATTAGGGGGTCAGCAGTGATATTAAGCAAAGTCTGTACTAAGTTAGCCTGAGTGCAGGTAGGTTTGTAGAGCTGTTCAAATCAAACTATGAACAGAACATAGAAGATATATCGTGTTTCAGTAAGTATCAGACGAAGAGCAGATAACAAGTGAAACCTGTTTCTTTTGATCTGCCCTCAGTCTGAACATGGGAATATTACACTGGCAAAGCAAGCTGGTGCTGGTTTTTAAGGAGGCTGCAAGTATCATTAGCTTACAGGTAGCAATTTTCACGTTTTGACGCTTTAACGATCTCGTTATTCAGAGGATTCAGTGATATTCGACAGAAGAATGTTCATAGGACAAAATTAACGCGTCAGCTTTGGAACATTTTTGATTTACACCAGATACGACAGGTGCCATTTTGTAAATTCCATTCATTTTTCTCATTGAGAAATTCATTTTATCCCGTAGAGTTCTGTATATGGGTATAAGAGCATGGCGTCGACGACAAATTGACAAGGACAACACGACTTCGATCAAAATATACGGTAAACCGAGGTGGTGCGTGTCCGTTCAAGTGAACGGGGCGAAAAGGAGCTCAGTTCTTGTCTGCTTGCCTCAACCGCTTCGCCCCGCCCCCGTCTCCGTCTTCCAGGGCAACAGCAGTAGCCTGTGTTGAAACACTGGGCAGAACAAACACCAAACAAAACAGGGTTTTCTTAAAGTCAGCTCGTCTGAAAAAGCGTGTTTAGGCTCAGAATACTCACAGGACCCTCGTGTTTACAAAAATGGCCACAACATCGCTGTAATCTTAAAGGGAACATATATAATCGCTAAAGTTTGGTCCGAAGCTAAAGTTTGGCTTAAGTCCATGTTGTCCGCTTAAGGGTGGAGTGTCTCCCCGCTCCAACTTTTGACCGTTCCTTATCTGGACCCGCCCATATAGCCACTCATATAAACACGGAAGTCATGGGGTTATGACCAGATACGCTTCATTTACGCGCCTCACTCTCTGACTTAAGGTGGGAAGCACCCTGAGAGGCTAGAGCCGGCTACGCACTGTTAGTCTGAATTAAAGTTCAGGTTTTTGTCTTCGTTTGAAAACTCTAAAGCTTAACCATGGGAGTCGTAACAGGAGGTGTCAGCTGCATCAAGTACCTGATGTTTGCCTTCAATTTTCTGTTTTGGGTATGTATAATCTTTCCATCTCAGATACTGGTTTGTAGGGTGCTTCAGTGAGGAGTAGAATATATACATGTGCTTCCTATGTTATCATAATGCTTACTTTGAGCTTCATTTTATGTATGTAAAGGTACTATATGAGGTTTATTACTGATGTTGTTTGTGGTGTGAGAAGGTTTTTAAAGTGAAACTAAGCTACGCAGTTCTCACTGCTGCTTTCCGTTTTCAGCAAACTCATGTTTGTGCTAATGGTGCTTTTAGACAGATTGGCCTGCTAATGCACATAATAGAAGATGAGGAGAGTGGTATGATGGTTAGATTGGAATCACTAAGCGGAAGAGGCTATGAATCTGATGTTTCTTTCTCAGCACTGCAGTCATTAGAAAATCTAGTTAAGGCATGTTTTCCTGCTACAGCTCTTACATGCTCAGAACACAGGGGTTTGTCACTCACTACCCCAATGTGTCTGAGATCCAATAGATAAAACCAATGTAATCTTTGGTCACATTTTGTTTTTGACCCAGTCTCTGTACCATCAAATGGCTATAACACTGAGAGGTAATTTCCTAGAAACATGAAACTTTGACCTGGACTATATCACTCACTTAATTGTGATTCTCTATGCGTCATCCTAGGTTAGGCTTATTCTTCGTCAATGAAAAACCCGCCCTGCAAGTTTGGCCTATTGAGCTTGCAGGCCTGTTTGACCTTACCGCAGGGATTTGTGAATTCATGACCATTCTAAGTACTCTGCTGATTAAAAAAGGCCAAACAAACATGACAAACAGGTTTTATCATGGCTGATAGGGCACATACACAAATCTGCAGTGTAGTTGTCCAGTTGTTGGCTGGTTTGTTTGCAGCAAAATTAAACTCAAATGGAACCCACAGAAGCCCATTCTTGCCTAGGTTTATTTTATTTTATTTTATTTTTCCCTGCTTCTCTGTTTCTGGCAGATCGCTGTCAAAATTGGGATTTTAGATACTTTCAAATACACATTTGATCTGTTATTTTTCCCAAAATTTCAAAATAATGGCTCGCTCTGTTAAAATAGTAACACATTATGTTGAAATTTGACTACTTGTGTCTCAAAATAATGACTTACTAAATTTCAAGAAAGTTAACATGTATATTGGGGTTATTGGTCATAATTTATAATATAATTCATAATATAAGTCCAAATTTTGAGAAAATAAGTCAGTACTTAGACTTAATCATTATTTTACCATACAAAGTCAAGTTTTGAGAAATTACTTTTGACATGGCAAGTCATCATTTTGAGATACTAAGTCAAAATTTCAAGAAAATAAGTAATTAATTTGAACTTGCTGCTGCCAGAAACAGAGAACGAGGATAAAACATTGCCTTTTTTTCCTCTTCTACCTGGCTTGAATGGGCTTCCATAGAAACCAGCCACACCCTAGATTGAAATCTGTTTAAACGTGACAGTTTCACACTAGATATTAGCACAGAGGAATCTGGCTGTTGAAACTTGGTAAAGAAAGATAAGATTGACACCACTACACCCTAAAGTTTGTCCACTGTTTTGTGTGTTTGTACAGCACTGTCATTTTTAAACAGTTATGATGGTGCATCAAGAAGTGATCTTTACCACACTCTGACTTGAGTCAAGCATGACTATGATCTGTCATAGCTATGGTTATGCAATTGTGGAATATATGGGGGACATCTGCAGCCATGTTGTGTAACGCAAGTGCCTTGTTGTATCCAGGGAAATTATTACATATGAGCTTGTGGTCTTCATTGACGCTGAGGAAAATGACCACATAATGGTTGATGCATCAGTGTCAGCATTATGATTTTGATCTTTCATGTTACAGCCTGGGTTTCAATTTAATGCCACAAAGTTTGATGAAGATAGTGTGGTGGGTTGGCTAGCATGCTTTACATGTAGGCCTCTCTTTCAAAAAACAATGACACCGTCTTTTCTAAAAGACTTGCTGGACTTCATTCCCTCAGACTGAGTTAGTTTCACCTCATGCCTAACCTGCTATTCTTGTTTTCCACTTGCACAAAACTGTACTAGCCAATTAGTACTTCCTAAATTAGCTGGTATGGTGGTGCCCTGTTTACCAGAGAAGGCTTTACCAGGCAGTACCATACACCAGCTCCTGATTATCTTGCTGCAGGACAGAAACTCAAACAAATCTTATTTGCATGTGTTTTGATTTTATCAGCTTGCAGGCACAGGAGTCCTGGCTGTTGGACTGTGGCTGCGTTTTGACAGCAGGACTGAGGGCCTTTTTCAAGTAGAGGGCTCGCCTACTGCATTCTTCACAGGTAAAAAGAGGGACATCTTAAGGTCATTTCAATTTTCAGCATTAGGCGACAGGCAGACCACCCCACGGATTTAAAATCAGGACTAGCCACACCTCGCACAATCCATACATTATCCCTGCGTTCAGCTCTTGGGTTTGTTTGGGTATGGTGGTAGTCATGGGAGCAGGTCACACCCACAATCAGCAAACCAAGTTATTTGAATTATCAGAGCTCAGACTGGTACACAGTCTGCTAAGAGAATGAAAGAAAAGTGTAAATAAGGAAGTTCTTTGTTATCTACATCAAGATAGAAATAATGTTCTGAAAGACTCTGGGAAATATTTAATAAAATACCGTCCAAAAGGTAGGGGACTGTCCAAAAGGTAGGGGACATTTCTGTTGGGCTGGCCTCCCTATGGGCTAAAGCTATCCAGTTTACTGAAAAAAAAATAAAAATCCAGCTTTGTGTAATACGTTCCCTGGGATACATAAGCCCAGTCTTGGAATACATGACTATCAAGTCAAGTCAGGAGGCTTTTATTGTCATTCCATCTATGTACAAGTACACATTGGAGCAAAATTACATTCCTCCAGGATCAATGGTCCAACATGGAACAAAATAAGACAAGTGCAGTACCTTAAGTGCAAATGTGCAGACATAAGTGAGCAATGTGCAGACATAAGTGTGCACTTCTTTAGTCTATGAATAAACTTAATTTAAATCAAGGATTTGGGGAAACTGACCCCTAAGGTCATTCTGAGAGTAACCTTAAGACATGATGTTTCATGGTAAACACGTGCTTTTGGATAGTAATTTCTTTTTCAGTGTCAGTAGTTAAGGTCAAAGCAGTTTATTAACATGAACTCTTGCTGCCTGCATCCATTCCCAGTACTTTTATTGGTGAAATGTATTTAAAAAACTGTAAACATGTCTGTCATTTTAGCACTCTGCTAGTTCTGGGTATTGCTGTAAAGGGCGTGTGTATGTTTACTGACAGAATGAGTTCTTTTCTTGCGTAGGAGTAAGAAGTACACAGAGCGATAACTGAAGTTAAGACATTTTCACATTTGCTCTGTTCTCTGGAATGCTGGGAGTTGTGTTTAGCTTGTATGCACTTATGTAAAAAATGTGAGTTGTAGTTCTTGCTGAAGACAGTATTGTGCTGCAATAGCTCGAGGTATATGCACCTTAATGCCCTGAAAACAAGTGTGCTGGTCAGTATGACTCAATTCATTATTTCATTTACTGTGGAATTCTGTCCAGTCATCTGAAACCTCTTAGGGAACTTTTATGAAAATACAGAATTTGTCATGTATACAGTGTCCATGTATAATCCAATAATGTTCAAACTTTACCCAAAATATTATGCACATTAATATACTACCAGTGAGCTATTTAAACAGCTTAAGTCTTTTCATAAATGTAGAAAACTTTGGCAAAGTGTATTCATTCATGTATGAAGCTCTTATACATGAACTCTTTTCTTATTTGTAAAAACCTAGTAGGATTTAAACTAGTAGTTGACCATTGCATCCACTGGCTGGCCTATATATATATATATATATATTATATATTTATTTTTTTTATTTTTTTATTTTATTTTTTTTTCCCAGCATTGGCCGGTGACCACACCCAGATTGCAGATGCATTCATGTACAATGCTCCTTTGAAATGAGATTATTAATATAATATAGCACGCTCCCCTGAAGTGACTGCAGATTTGCTTTGAGCACAGTGCTACATATAACAGTATAAAAAAATTCATATATACAGTCTTTATTTAAGAGCAAGTCAATATTGGTGTGAAAATGGTCATCTTTGACTATCAGTATCAGGTTCAGCCCTTAAACAAAAAGAAAGCATTACTACATCTACTGTAAATGTTACATGGAGTCCATGCTTTGGGGTGGATTTTGGGGGCTGGCGTTGTTTTGTTTGTTTGTTTTGTTTTGTTTTGTTTTTGGGTTGGCTTGTAAGTAAAAAAGGCAGACAGATGGGTAACAATAGGAAACAACATATTGTATTACAGCCATACATCTGCAGTAACTGTCTTCAAATCATCATTACATAGACTGAATGGATTAACATGTTAAAAGCTATATTTAGCAAAGTAGTTACCAGGCCATCAATTTGTGCTCAGTAGAGATAAAGTTGCTGTTTTCTTTACAATTTTTTTGGATGACTGAGGTAACACTTATATAATGTTTGGGTCTTTGTCCTGTTGTAGAAAGTGAACTTAAATTTCTTGACTGTCACTTTTTGCGTTTGGAATTTGCTGATATTTAGTGGATTTTCTTAAATCTACCTGTGCAATGTTTCCTGTGTCAATTGCAGCCACACAACCCCAAAGCATAATAGATCCATCCAGTGCTTAACAGTTGGCAAGGTGTTCTTTTCATCAAATTCTGCTTTTTTTGTTCCCCTAGACGCACCTTTAGTAATTGTGGCCAAAGAGTTCCATTTTTACCTCATCAGGCCACAGAACTTGTTTCCAAAATGGCTCTCTAGATTTTGTTTTGTTTTGCATACTTCAGACATTCTTTTGTGATGAGGTTGCAGGTTAGTTTTCTCTCTGACGACTCTTTATTGCAGATAAAACTCTTTATTGTTTGTGTAGGCAATGCTGCATAGCAGAATTGTGCACCACCACTCCTGTGTCAGCTAAACCTTTCTGCAGGTCCTTTGTTGTCATATGGGGGTTTTGCTTTGCCTTTCTGGTCAGCATACAGCAGTTATATCGGAGAGTTTTCTTGGTCTTCAAGATCTTGCCTTGACTTCCACAGTTCCCCTTAACTGACGTTTGTTAATGACATTTCGGACAGTGGGAATTGAGAGCTGGAAGTGCTTTGATATCTTTTTATACCCTTCTCCTGCTTTGTAGGCATCAGTTTGCTTCATTTTCAGATCCTTAGCTGTTTAGAGAAGCCCATGGCTATTGAATGTTACAAGATCAGAAGTGTTAGGGAATTTATGATGCTTTGGAACTGTCAGCTGATGACAATTCCAGATGACCTGCCAAACCAGTCCTAATGAGTCCCTTAAGACATAATGATTTAATTAAGGAAAGGTCTTTAAACTTTTGCACATGACACAGCTCATTTTTTCCACCTATTTTTTTTATTTAAGATAATCAAATATAGAGTAGCTGTGCATTAACATCTGCAGAAAACTAATATCATTAATTTTTAATATCATTTTATTAATTATTTGCTGCAGAGGTTGCATTTTTTTAATTTATTTTTATTTTATTTTTTGCAAAATATTTAAAACATCAGCAAAATATGTAATTTGGTCTTGGGTACCCAAATTGTGGACCAGTGGATGGCAGTTAGGACTGGTGACACTGCAGGGAATCCCAGTGGTTGATGTAGTTATACAATGCATGCTGGGTATTATAGTGAGAGAACCATGAATGAAAGCATGAAAACAATATAAAATCGTGAACTCTCTCAAATCAATGAAGCCGGGGGCTATATTGCCAAACTACAGAATGGTACATAACGTGGAAAAATAACTAATAAAAATAAATATTATACTGTTATTTTTGGCTGGAATGCCCGTTTCAGGTGAGCATTTAGCCATGTTTTAGGCGAGTCTCATTTACCTAGAAAATGGGTGAGGTGGTTTGAGCTGAGCGGCTGGGACATTTGGGGTCGTTTTGAGTTTGTGCGGGGTATTTAGAGGCTGGTCTTCCAGGGTCATAACAGCTGTGCTGTTTAGCTGGGCGAGGCTAATGAGACAGTATTTGTCCCCCTCCCACTCACTCTTTCCCCACACCCTCACAGAAGCGCCTTTCTCTGCACCCCGACTCCCCCAACAGAACCCACATTGTTCGGTCCTGTTTGTTTGCCTGTCAGGAATTGATAGAGGCTTGCTCTTGGTCACTCCCTCCATTTCAGCAGGCAAGTTCGCAATGCTTATAGCACCACACTGCTGTGAGAGAGGGCTGCCCTGCAATGCAAAACATCTTAATGATAGGCTGTCGGCAACAATAGCTAGTGGGTGGTGTTATGTAGGCACACCACTGCAGACTTCAGCATTGGATCTATTGTTTTCTGCACTCTGGGCATACTGCACACGCCCATGCTGAGGTAATAGGATGGCTTTAGCATGAGGCATGGTTTGTGCCTGAAGCTGTCTGTTTTAGGCAGGGCAGCATAAGAGTCCAAACCATATATACCTTTTGTTCTTGTGAGCTGCCCTCTTAAGTACTAATTTGCTAACAAGGTCAAAAAGTAATTGGTGTCTGAACTTCGCTAATTAATTTTTGCTGTAGTGCTACCATAGTTAATGAGTAATGGAAGCTAATAACTCAACAGTTAGCATTGTGCAAGCTGTATGCCTGAATTTATACAATCACCTCTAAAACTTGATTATGTAGTTTCTGACACTGTACGATGTACTAGGAGTCATTTCTGTGTTCCCTCTTTGAAATTTCTAGGTTGCTGCCCAATGTTCCCCAGTTCATGTATGTATGAATGTATACTGTGCTCTAATTTCTCAGAAAAACTGTTGGCATTACAAACTTAATTGGGTCACTGAGGCTAGTCTTGCCAAGGGCAAGTGCACTGTATGACCTCTGATGGCCGCCCCCCCACCCGCAACCATGACCTTAGGAACCCTTTCATAGGTCTAATGGATCATACTGAGGTTTGATGTTTTATAAAGATCTAGGGGGTCTGCACAGCCCTTGGAACATAGGTAAGCTTCGGCATAGTGTTATCTAAAAAAATGTACAAAAGAATGTTGCAGTGCTAAAATGATATTAGCAGCAATCATGAAGGCTGAATTTTGTCCATACCATTTTCATAGATAACAGTATGTCAAACACTATCAGAAACCACATAAGCAGGTCTATGTGAGAATATGTAATACCTTGATGTGGTTTGACATGTTTAATATGTTATATAAAATGTGTAATAGTGAGTTAGGCATGCAGTTTGCACAATGATAATTGGCATACATAAGAGTCTGTTGCTAGTTAGCTACAGTACTCTCGTAACTAATATAAGTAAAAAAAAAAACTATAGAGGCAACCTTTGGACATGAAATGACTTGGGTGCTTGACTACATTTGGGTTATGGGCAAAATTAAAATGTAAATTGTATTTTTCACCAGACTCTCACGTTAAAGTGCTCCAGCTGTGGTGTGCATCACCAGATATTTTTTGTTTTGTTTTGTTTTTTTTTTGCTGTTTAGGTGTTTACATCCTTATTGTGGCTGGTGCCCTCATGATGGTGGTTGGCTTCCTTGGCTGCTGTGGAGCTATTCGAGAGTCACCGTGCATGCTGGGATTGGTGAGTCTTCTTGCAGGTGTACACAAATTTTGTCAGACCTTTCAGATGTTCTGGATACTACTTTTTGATTTTCAGACTTGAAATGGGCCTGTGATGTTTTCAGTATTTTAAGACATTTTAAGACCTAGTCAATATAACGTGTGTGTGTGTGTGTGTGTGTGTGTGTGTGTGTGTGTGTGTGTGTATGTGTGTGTGTGTCTTTCTCTATCTAGTTCTTCATTTTCCTGCTTGTCTTATTTGCGGCAGAGGTAGCAGCTGGAATCTATGGACTGTCAAATAAAGATACGGTTAGTAACATGTACAAACTGGGGCTAGGAAAATATATATATATATATATATAACTAACAATGTCTCGCTGTCTCTTGCTTGTGCAGATTGTGGACGAGTTGAAAACTTTCTACAAGGAGACCTACCAAAATTACCAAACTACAAAGCAGGAAGCCCTCAAGGAGGCTTTGCGAGCGATCCAGTATAGCGTACGTGTTAATTTGTATGCAGTGTTGGTTAAAGATCTGGACATGTAATTCAACCTGAGTAAGCACATTTCTTTCCACCCTAATTAGCTTCAATGCTGTGGTACCACTGGAACAGCTTTTGATATTGCCCAAGACACATGTCCGAAGAAGGAGGGTTCGCAGCTTCTCATTACAACGGTAAAAACTGACCTTCCTTCCACCAGTCATCAATCGTCTTTTCCTCCCAACCTACTAGAAGAAATGCGATCACTGTTATTTAAGTGACGACCTGAATAGCTGAGATCAGGGCTGCCCACAAGGATGTTTGGTTTAACATTGCACCACTCTCGCAGCCAGTGGACCGAACACCTTTTTACCTTCTTATGTTCTTCCTTTTTAGCTTCTATATAGTCTAATGTTATAAAATCAAATGTGATAAACTATGACCCTTGAAACCCTTCAGCTGTGACTGACTGCAACATTGTAGTTATGAGTTAAAGTAGTTAGCCGTTATGAGCTAATGGAGCATAACTGGCAATGGTACACAAACTAGAGGAGTTTTAGAGACTACCAGTGTGGAGAATATCTTATTGCTGATGACCAGACAGTGTGCCTAGTATGAAAAGAAAACAACGGACTATATAAAGTTTCTCCACGTACATTGGCAACATGCAAAAACAGAGCTAATGAGTTGCCCCCTTTTTTTTTGTTTGCTAGCCCACCACAAACATTATACTTTGGCCATCCGAGACAAAAAGTTTGTAGACCCCAGCCTGATTCCTGAAATGTCACGCTTTATCTATTTATGTATTTGTATGTTTTTGTCCTGTTGCCATTTGTTTAGAGTTGCCCAGCTGCCATAGATGACCTGTTCAACTCCAAGCTGCACATTATTGGAGGTGTTGGAATTGGCATTGGTGTGATCATGGTGAGTATGACATTTTCAAAAAGTGTTCTTTCATAGCTACTGTTGCCAGGTTGTTCAAGCTTTACAAAACCTTGGCAAAATTCTGTTTTTGTCTTAAGTATGACCTTTAACATGCAAACAAAATAAATATCACATGACTTCCTAAATTCAGTATTTTGACAAGAGTGGTGCACTATAGTTTTGCCTTAGGTTGATGAAGGATGGGAATGTTTTATAAAGCTTGTCCACCCTAGCAACAGTTGCTGTGAAAGAACTGCAGGGCCGTTTCTGAACATTTGGGAGCCTTAAGCAGCATTCAGTTATTTTGTATGTAAGAATGAAAACAAGTTAATACTTGATATTGATCTGGAAAAAAAAGGCCATAAATACTGAAGAAACACAAACTGATGGGAAATAAAACTATATAAAGGGAACATAGAATATTGAAAAAACTATTATTTATATACACATTTTATATATATATATATATATATACATTATATATATATATGGAGGTAATCATCATTGATGTCTTCATACCAGAATTTTCAGCCAGGATCATGACTAACACAAATGATACTAAACAAAAAATACTCTAAGCAACTGCTTATTTAGATTTGAACTCAGTCTATTATTAACTGTTGGCTTTCTCTTTGGCAGATCTTTGGCATGATCTTCAGCATGCTGCTGTGCTGTGCCATCAAACGAACCCGAGAAATTGTTTAAGGAGCTCTCAGACCCTCTGTTGTTACACCTACCTGCCTGCTGTTGATTTTAGCTTTAAGGTCAGGCCAAGCCACAGACCACCGCTTCAGCACACCTTAAATAATCGTAAATTATTTCCTGATGCTGGCCAGCAATGGCCACCTCAGCTGAATGTCTCTGTATGGAATAATTTTTACCAGTCATACCCCCTAAATTATCATAGATGATGGCTTGGTGTGATATATATTTTTTTTTTCCCCAGATGTTTTGATGTCTGTTTTTAAATGTATGTGTGAATATGCTCTTGTAAACATTTGATTTTATTTCTTTTTACAATTCTAACTTTAACTAACTTTAAGAGATGATGATAATAATAAAATATTTTCTGCATATACCAGTACTAGACTTTTGATGGAAAGTAGTTAATGCTAAATAAAATTGTCTAATACCAACACTGGGTTTAACTGTGTCAAACATGATGCGCTAGATCATTTCTCACTTTCTTGTGCAGACAGTATCACAAGGGGAGAAAGAAAGCTCTCAAATATTTAACTCCTGATTTTGTACAGTTATATGCAAATGTACTGAAAATAAGTTCATCCTCTTTCAAGAACACACCTCTGCATGTTTTAATGTACAATTATTTATTTATTTATATATTTTTTTGACTCAGCAAATAAATAGAAATCGTGCACTAAAATATATAGAAAAATATTTAGAAAGTGGAAAAATTATTCAAATATACCCTCAACAAGCACTTTATTATACTAATGCAGGGTAGGGCCTCCCTTTGCTCCCATAACAGCCTCATGATCTCATGACTGCATCAAGCAATTCCTGCAGACCTTTCAGGTACACTTTGATGCTGTGAATCTCCCGATCTACTGCATCCTATGGCTGGGAAGGCCACTGAAGAACACTGAACTTATTGTCATGTTCATGAAACCAGTTTGAGACTTTTGCTTTGTGATATGGTGCAATATCATGCTGGAAGTAGCCATTAGAAGATGGTAAAGTGTGGCCATGAAGGGATGAACAACAATCAACAATACTTAAATAGGCTGTGGCACTGAAGTGATGATTGATTGGTATTAAAAAGGCCCAAAGTGTTAAAAAACAAACAAAAAAAAACATTCCCCACACCATTGCACCACCTCCACCAGCGTGGACTGTTGATACAAGGCAGAGTCCATGGAGTCATGCTGTTGTGCCAAATTCTGATCCATCCGTCTGTGTGCCTCAGCAGAAATCGAGATTCATCAGACCAGACTATGTTTTTACAGTCTTCAACTGTCCAGTTTTGGTGAGTCTGTTGTCCACTGCAGCCTCAGCTTTCTGTTATTGGCTGCCAGAAGTGATGTGGTCTTCAGCTGTTGTAGCCCATCCGCCTCAAGGTTTGACGTGTTGTGCATTCTGAGATGCTTTTCTGCTCACCACAATTGTACAGAGTGGTTATCTGAGTTAAGATACATGTATAAAATGATTCCATTATGATGCTACTACACAATCATTTCTATGAAGTAGAACAAGTCTGGCCATTCTCTGTTGACCTCTCTCAATAAGAAAGCATTTCTGTTTACAGAACTGTCGCTCACTGGATCTTTTTTTCTTTATTGCACCAGTCTAAGTAAACTCTAGAGACTGTTGTGTGTGTGAAAATCCTAGGAGATCAACAGCTATAGAAATACTCAAACCAGCCCATCTGGCACCAACAATCATGTCATGGTCACAATCATTGAAATGACAGTTTTTCCCCCTTCTGATGGTTGATGTGAACATGATTTTATGCACTGCAGTGCTGCCACACAATTGGCTGATTGGATAATTGCATGAATGAGTAGGTGGGTCATTCTACAGAAACGTCCACTTTTTGATCTATCCATAGGAGTCACTGGTGTTACCAATCCTCATTGGTGTTGCACATAATATAGGTACCAGACACAGTAACACCAGTGACATTTTTAATGAAAAAAGTGAGAGCATCAAACCACATGTTGTCAGTCATGGAATATCCACTAAAATATGTAATTTAATCCATTTGTATTCTATTGTTTCACAATCACCTAAGAATAAAGTAGATCATACCAGTGATTTCAACTAAAAGCTTCATATGAAATCATGAGCTAAATGAGAAAATTCCTGATAACTGAAAGACACAGTGGACCTACCATGTGCTTTTCTTCATAGAGCCTCAGAAAATAGGTAAAAGGAAGTCGTGATGTCACCAGTGTGATTTTTATTTCAAAATAAGATTTTTTATTACACAGTAACACCAGTGACACGACTCCTGGGGACCACAACTTTCATTATATATTTTATGATATTTATTTGGCATTTGTTTTCTTTGTCATAGTCATGTATAGATTATTATAATTAAAATTACAGAAAAACGTTCTTTACCTTAAAATATGGCACTCACCCTTTACACATGACTGTGAGGACGAGCACTTCTGTGATGCCTGGAATTCTATATAATTGATTTAAAAAACAATATTGCTAAACTAATGGCTCAAGAGGACGTCATTGTTAACATTGTTTTATTTTCAATTATAAATACATTGTAACCCTAACATGTTTTTCAAGTGTAATATATCTGTAAATGCTAGGGGCACTAAAATGGACATTTCTGTAGAATGACCCAGGTGTCAAAGTGTTTGTATAAAGTGCTTGGGGCATGTACACTGTAAGGCTTTTTCTAATAGAAAGCCCCAAAACATTTTACTTCATTAGTGTATTTGAGCAGCTCCAGCACTGTATGTCCAAAAGTATCCAGACACCCCATATAAACAGTTAATTCAGCCACTCTATGGCACACCCATTGCTGACACAGGTCTTCAGTTTCCTTGCTCTTTGTGCTCTACTTCTGAGAGCTTTTGAATGACTTCATACAATTGGTCATCAAGCCAATACTTTCAATATACAAATAAATTAACTGGGGAACATTAACTGACAATCCATCTTTTAAAGGTCTTTTTTTTCTGATTTATACCCAGTTCTAGTAGATGTAGTTCATCCCTCCACTGGTCTGGGTGACGACCATTTTTTGGCACAGAAAAATCATTAAAGGGTGTCTCATATGTATTTGTAACAAACATGTATGCATGAAAGAAAACTCAGTTAGCAAAAATATATTTAATCAGCATAAATGTACAAGAGAATATTATCCTTTCAGTATCTATCCCTGAAAATTCATGACACTGTTTTCATTTCCTTTGTTTACAATAAGTAGCTTTTGTCGATTTTGTCTTTCTTTATTTTTTACTTTTTTGTTTTTTTGATTTCTTTCCTTTTTTCTTAGTGGCCTCAGGCCACCCAAAGCCCCTGAACTCCAGGCAGTCCACAGCATTATGGGAAATGTAGTAGGCGTTCTCCATGGCTGCTGGACTGAGAATGTCCACCTCTGGCTGTGTGGGTTTGGCACTTGCTGACCTTTTCTTAGTTGACCGCTTCCTGTCACTTTTCTTCCTAGGTCTGGCACTTTGGGACTTGGACTTCTTGGCTCTTGTAGGCTGTAAAAGTACAAATGGAGTCATAAAATAACTCGTTTTGGAGTAAGACCAAATGGAGTCATAAATGTCTGACCCTCTACCTGTCTGACCCTCTACCTAACGATGTATTTTTCCATATTTCCCTTCTGTTTCATGTGATGTTTTTGCACCTCTCCACCTCCTCGTCTCCTCTCTATACATCTTGACCTTTACACCTCTGTCTCAGTCCTTCAAGGCAGAACTTCAGTCTAAGATCTCAGAGCTCTCTCACCCTCTAGATCAACTATAGATTGAAGGTTTTGTCTGCACAGGCAAAATAAAAGGTGTTTTAAATGATTGCTTTTGAATGATATTTTCTTTGTTGAGATCCATGGCAATTCAGCCAATTTGGCCAATGGGTTTTTATTCATTGTCATTCAAAAGTTTGAATTCACTTTTTTCAATACTATTAAAGCAATTTGTTAAAGATAAAGTTATTGTATTAGGATGCTACTACTCTACTTGCAATAATTCCCAGGAAGCTGCAAAAATTTAGGGCTTTTAGATGTTACTAAATTTAGAGGTTGCTGGGTAGAAGTTACTGGGTCATTCCACACCAACTCACCCAGCCCTCCTAGTTCATGGCATGGATTTTGTTGAGGGAAAAAAAACAAGTGAAAACATGAACTATTAAGTTCAGGAGACCTTGCAAAATCCTATAGCTATATTCTAAGTACGTTGTTTAGTTTGTCCCTTTTCATCATTTTTGCGGTTCTTTGCGGTCTTCACTTTTAGCCTCACCAGTTGCTTATTTTTTGCTGGATTGGGTTGAAATTTATACTGAACATGCAAGAAACCCTAAGGATAATTAGCAACATGTATTCATGTATTGCTGAATGTTTCACAATAATCAAATTATAAAAATATTTTTTTACATAGTTCTATCACATCTAGAAGTTAGTTGGACCTGCAGAGAAAATTTAGAGACACAGAGCTGATTTATAAAGTTATATTTATTGTATATTCTCACAAGAAGGATTGTTTGAATTTGCTTGAAACCTTTCTATGCAAAGGTATTAATATTCATTACAGATATATAAAATTTTTTAAAAATGTTACACTGTAAAATGGCTTGTCAGTTAAACCTAAAAAAGTACTCCATGTGGTAACAAGCAATTTAATTAGTTTTATTCAATCTAAATAAATACTTTGAATTAATGATTCTTTGGATCAAAGTAATTTTTGAGTTAAATAAAACTAGTTCAATTGCTTGTTCCCACATGTAGTAATTTTTTAGGTTGAACTGACAAACCATTTTTTCAGTGTACATTACTCCATCATTTAATAATTTATTGAAAATAGCTATTTTTTCATACTTTTCACTGGCTGTAAAATTACATTCTGTGGTTTTATTTCATAGGTAGATATCTGTACTATGCTGGCTTCATGGTTTTCTATTTCTGTGTGATGCCTATTGAGTCTGTGCTTCATTGGGTTCAGGAAATTGGCAAGGTGCAACCTGTAATGGCTTGATTTGTTGCATGCTAGATGATGTCATCTTGCTCTGCGTGTGTGCACAATGTTAGTCATTCACAGGAAAAGGTGTTCCTTGTGCTATTGATAGGAGACTTCCCACAGCAGCCAAACCTCTCACAGTCAGATGTAAGTACTGATACCTAACAACCTAGCCAAATTATAACACAACAGGATGTACTATGACCATACACTGGTACTTAACCATACTAACAACCACAACAACAACAACAAAGATGCCTTTGTGAGCAATTCACAATGGTTGTCAAGTGGGCACCTTCCTTCATCAGTATCTCATGGTATTAAGCCTACACCACCTCCAGAAGGCTCAACAGTGGTGTCTGGCATCCAAGATCCACCCCCCCTCCAACAACAGATATACCTCAATGCCCATGCCCTGTTGATGCATGTTCTAGGAGTGCCAAAATCTAGAACATCTTGTAAAGTATGTCCAAGTATACCAGCATGCCAACTTCCAAAATATTTTGCAACAACAGATTTCCTCGTGTAAAACAAGTTAATTCATACATCCCCAAGTAGTCTGTGAGCGGCCTGCAAGGTCCCATGAATTTATAGATAGAACTATGTTAATTCTACACAGAATTAAAATCTGGTTGCAATAAAGTAAAAACTAGTGGAGATATTAATTTTTGAAAGTTAAAAGATTTGTAGTTCGGGTAAAAAATATTTTTTAAATTTGATTACTGTGAAACATTCAGCAATACATAAATCCATGTTGCAAATTATCCTTAGAGTTTCTTTCATGTTCAGTAGAAATTTCAACCAAATCCAGCAAAAAATAAGCAATTGGTGAGGCTGAGAATGCACATGCAAAGAATCCCAAAAATAATAAAAATTCATAGCTAAAAAAGTACTTGGAGTAGAGCTTTAGGATTTTGCAAGGTCTTGTGAATTTAATAGAAGTTTTCACATCATTATTTTCAGGAAAATTTATGACATTAACTGGGAGGGCTGAGTGAGTTGATATGGAATGACCCTACTACGAATACATGATTACAGTATATTGTTTATCATTTAATAATCTTTTGGTGATCCCAAAAAAATGAAATACTGAGTAAAACAAATATCTTGAAGTATCTTCTGGTGTCAGGCTTATATAGTATATATCCACACTGTTTAAGCTAATATGACAAGTGATTCCAAGCTTTTTGTTAACATAGAGCATATCAGTAGTAATCTACTGTTTTTTTTCAATGAACTAAACAGTACTACACTATACATTGCCATTCCAATAGTCTGTACTGGAAAATGATAAACAAATAAACATTTAAAAGGACTTCACTAAAAATGTATAAATATCCAGTGCTGAGCAAAAGTCTAAGCACATGGTTTAAAACCACCAAATCACGTTATTTAAAAAGGTATAACAATAGAATATTTCGAAATAAACATAAATACAGTGAAAAGTAATAGTAGTTGATATTTTATCCTAGTTGGGAGAACAAAGATTTAGTTCCACACTTCTCCCCGAAGCGTCCAGCCATCACATAGATTTGTTTTAGTCCACCATTCAGCACATTTGAACATAATGAAATATCAATTAGGCAAACACAGTACTGGATCATAAATACAAATAATAGCAGGTGCAACATCAGCCTCTATTTTGAGAATTTTCAATATTTATCATCATGCAAACTGCTAACTGATCAGGGTAATCAGGATTATGATGTATTGCAATACAAGTATTGCGAGTATGTATTCAGAATACACAAATGAAGAATCTGTATTCAGTCCAAGTTACATTTTGTAAAAACAAGATTCAGAATACAGTTATCTTTACAATTTTAGGAGAATGCTTTTAAAATACCTACTCAGTAAATATAAAAACATACAATCTTTAAAAGAAACACTTTTATTTGAAAATCAGAGTATGCATAGTAAACACACTCAGAAAGAGGACCTCAGCAAATGACTTCTTTACACACACTGAAGTTCTTGCTAAAGCCTGAGTAGACTGTTAAACCAGCGTAATGAGCCAGTTATTTATCTCAGTGTAAAGGTCTTTTGAGGGCTGAATGAACTGAATATTCTCCTCGGTAGCAGACATGTTCACAAGTGATAAGCTTAGCATTGGTGTTGTACCAGACTTGTGTGTGTTTCTGCCATTATGTTCCACACATAAACCAAAATTAGCTGAAAATCACAGCTGCTCAGTTTACAGTCAAATTCACAAGATTTTGTTATTCATGTATGCCGAATTGTTTGCTTAATGGGACAGGTGGCGTCCTGCTCAGGGGAACTGTGAGAGCAGCAGTGGATTAAAGTGGACAGGTGATGAGATTTACATGGAGAAAACTGCAAGAAACAGTATGAATTAAATAAAAATTACAACATAGCATAGTTTTTCAATATGCCTTCTGAGGATGTAGTCCAGAATGTGCTCTAAATAAATTCTGAGTATGTTACTTTTTATGTATTGTAAAGGAATACATTGTTGAATACATTTAGGACATTGTATTCAGTATTCAGCCATCACTGTGTTCAAAGTATTTTGCCAAAATCTGTCAGTACTTTGTTTGAATTGAATAATCCCAACAACCCTAAATGACACTGTTATATGTACCTGGAGAATTTTCAGGTCAATAAAATTTCAGTTAAATATTATTTTCATGTTACACTAACTTACCATTTTACAGTCTCAGCTTTTTATCCAGGACTTGAGGGACCTGCAGACAGGAAAAATCTATAAATCATGTAAGTGTTGCCTACTTGGCCATTCACCTTGGCACTCTTCCATTGCCTTCTGCCAGTTAAGGCCTACTGACACCTCAATTTTGTCTAATCATGTTCTTTTACAACATACACTATGCTGTACTGCATAATCATGCACACACTACTCATGCAGCTCTTGACTTCACACCCCCTTCGTCTAAATTCCTCTATCTGTGCAAAACAGAATAAACTCTTGTTCCTGAAGTCACAAGGAGGACATAAAGATTTCTGCCATTATTGTTAATAACCAGAGAAAGCACGTCCTACCGGAGAGGAGGGTTCTTCCACGCGCTCTCTGCACTGTGGGCCTCTGTCTTCTGAATAGTTTTTTGTTTGTAGAGGGTTGTCGTAGAGACGGGACAGCAGCATGCCATCCCAGCCCTCTGTCACCAGCTCACTCTTCAGGTTGGCCCAGACTGTTGTTGGCTAGGATGTCATCCCCCACACGTGCTCAGGATAATCCACTGTTTGATCAGTTGGCATCAATTTATAATGTGACAGACTACCAGGCCAACACTTTCACTGCAGCATCATTTAAGCTTAGAAAGTAAGTGAACAAAAAAAAAAGAGAGTAAGCAACAACGACTCCTTCTAAGAAAGACAAGTCTGTTGCTGAAGTTGGGTTATTCTATACCAGCACAGCAGGTCATGGATTTCCATGAAAAATCCATACAACCATGCAAACTGTGAGAACTGTTCTCCACATAGTATTTTAGTCATGATGTTGTAAAGTTTGGCCCATCAGGTTCTAAATCACACCTTAAACAATGAGTTATCTGCAATCTTATCCGCAGAGGGCCAGTGTGGCTGCAGGTTTTCACTCCAACAAAGCAGGAGATCACATGATGAAATGTTTGAAGACTAAGACCAACTGATTAAACAAGTAGAATCAGTTGTGCTTCAGCTCGTATGGAGTGAAAACTTGCAGCCACACCAGCCCTTTGCGGATGCAATTGGACACCCCTGGTTTACAGAATGCTCATATCTGACTGAACTAAATGAAAATTTCAACCGAGCATAAATATAATATTAAAAATTCAAAATCCACTAGTTACATTAATAGAATTGTCTAACCTTTATAACAAAGCATGAAATCTTTCACCTTTGCAATTTAGTCAGTTTTAGTTTTGATTTTTCAGTCAGTTTCTTTTTGCTAAACTTTGGTTTTATGCAGTATTACAATATTTCTATCAAACATATCAATTATTAATTTCTGTATGATATTTGAAACTACAGTATGATGTGGAAATGGCTTCACAAATAAAATGCACCATTATGACCCTAAATCCTACATTCGTCAAACTTTTTCCTGAATAAGGACAGTTCCATCTTGCTGTTCACATTTTTGTGGAAATCCACGCTGTAATCTGGCTGGGCTCTTGAGGTTTGGCAGGGAATTATTCAGTTTTCTCTAGCTTTAGGGTAACTTCTTGTACATTTCACTAAATATACGCTAAAATATACGCTGTTCAAACTGGGGAATCAACTTTAATCAAATGACAAATATTATTTAATTCTTCACATCGTTCTCAGAACGTCTAGTCCTACTGAAAAATAAGATGTGCTTACAGCTGCCACTTTGGGCTTTTTCTGCTTAGACATAATCACGTCTCTTTAACTTTCAAACAGGGGCAGAATGTGCTGTGCTCAGAATTACTCTAAATACCTCTTTATTTCTGCTAGTGGTCTTCTGCTGGTGGTCAGTAAAAATACTGGCATAGTGTTCTCCACTAGATGGTGATGTCCGCTTAAGCTGGGAATTACATACTCATCTTCATTAAAGCGTCTTTGAGAGCAGAAGAAGAGAGATAACTGTATCTTAAGATGCGATATTTTAATTCTGGGACAATGACACCAAAACAAAACTGAGACATGATAATGGATTTAAGGTGAAATACGTCTCTCTGTAGCTTTTTCAAGACAAATACAACAATTTCGAACATTTACTCTGCAATAAAGACTCATCATCTCATATTCTGTACAGTAAATCAGTGTGTTTATAAAAAGGGCTGAATTTGGTATGAATCTACAGTTACCTCACTGTTAGGTAGACGATTAACACCAGCACCTTCAACTTTTAATCAAACACTGGAAATGGTAATAAAAATGATTAGAAAATATTTGCTAGTTTTATAGGTAGGTAAAGTGGGGAGGGCAAGAGAGACAGGGGGAGAGAGAGACAGGGGAGAGAGAGAGAGAGAGAGAGAGAGAGAGGGAACAAGAAAAAAGAGAGAGAAAGGGAGGACAAGACTGCGAGAGAGAGAAAGAGAGACAGCAAGAGGAAGAGAGAGAGACAAAGGGAGGGGAGAGAGAGAGGGAGAAAGAGCGTGAGAGAGATAGAGGGGGGAGAGATAGAGAGAAGGTGTGAAGGAATATGAGATGGGGAGAAAACGAGAGAGAGAGAGAAGGGTGGACAAGCAAAAAAAGAGTAAGAAAGACAGCAACAGAGAGGATGAGATGAGAGGGGAAGAGAGAGAGAGAGACAGAGAGAGAGACAAGCAAGAAAGGGGGGAAAGTGTAAGAAAGAGAGAAAGAGAGAGAGAGAGAGAGAAAGGTGGACAAGCAAGAAAGGGGGAAGAGTGTGAGAAAGAGAGAGAGACAGAGAGACAAGCAAAAAAGAAGGGGAAGAGTGTGAGAAAGAGAGAGAGAGACAGAGAGAGAGAAGGGTGGACAAGCAAGAAGGAGAGCAAGCAAGAAGGAAGGAGAGAGAGAGGGAGAAATCATGTGGGAAAGAGAGAGAGATAGAGTGGGCGAGAGAGGGGGAGCAGTAGAGAGAAGGTGTGAAAGAGAGGAAATGATGACAAAAAGCAGTGTTAAAAATCAGCACCATGGTGTGGGAAGTTTGTTAATTGTAAGGTGGGTGATACTATTCACCAAGGACACTTTAGTGCTTTTGTGCTGTGCTGTTAGGGGCCCATTCTATGTGTACGGAGTGGGAGGAAGCGCTTGACATCTGAGAGACAAAGAGAATTGAGACTTTACTGCTTTCTCAAGGACGTTCCTGCCATACGCCTCGTCTGTATACACAGAGACAGCAGCAGTTTCTGAAAGGAATCTTTAAAGACCAGTTCTTCCGGTCCCGCTGACACATGAGCTATGCTTCTAGCTGCCATTTTGGGCTTTTTCTTCTTGGACATATCGAGTCTCTTTAGCACAACAACAGAGACAGAATGTGCTAAGCCCAGATATATTTTCTTTCCATTCTATTTATATACGTGCGTATGCATCAAAAATAAAAGTTCTACCAGCAGTTCCAGACTGAGAGAGATAATGATAAATAAATAAATCCCTTCACTCTTTTCATTAGAACTTACTTATAATACTTCTAGTATTTGAGCATTCATTATTATACAATAGAAATATATGGACACACAGCCAGTCAAATGCTTGGGGACACTGTTTTAGAAGAGGAATTCCAACACTTTTTTCAAATTTCTGCATAATTCAGTGGTTGAGACGTAAACATGTAAACATGGTGCACTGTCTATTTTTAACAATGGTGGTGAGAGGGATCCCGGGGCTGTGACGTCTTTGCAAATATAACTACTTTATTTACCACTTAAAATGACCCATGAACCCATGTGTCTTAAGAGTTTTTATATGTAATGTTGATTACAGTGGTAAATCTGAAAAAAGGTAGTTTTCTTTGGGCAGTCTTTGCCTTTTAATGCCCTGTATGTACCTCTCCGCCATGAATGTGCTTCAAAAAATAAGTTTTGTGTTGAAGCCTTATTTCAAAACTATCATATCATGGCATCAGGCAGCATGTTCATTACCTTTTCATGAGATAACCTGCTGTGATGCAGCTGTCAGAGACAATAAATGCTTCAGACGTCTGGTTCCTATCACAACAATTCAGACTATTCTTCTCTAGAATGGTGCAACACTTCGTTTACATGGTAACGAGACTATAGAGATTATGGTGGAATTCCTTTTTAATGTTAATGAGCATATTTTCTTTTTCCATTTTCGATAACATATTAACCAGGTTTACTTTGAGGAAAATAATATCACATACATATGTGTGATAATATTTTATCCCCTTGTAGTGAAATAAAGAGCTGTTTGGTTGTATCTTTGTATTTTATAAGTTAAGATGAAATAAATGGGTAGATCTAATGTTGCTGTAGCTGAAAATCACAGGACCCACCTGGATCTCCTTGGAACATTCTGGCTGTGCCCCTCATTATGCCTAAACCTGCTAAACATAATGCAATTTTTGTTCATCAGTTTACTAAAGATATTATTAGATTTTATTGAAAATTAAATGACAGACGATTTTGCTAACTTGGTTAATTTTAGATACAAAAAACTGATTTTGCTACTGAATAAAGAGCTGTTTGGAAGCTTGAAATTGTATTATTATCCCTTATTGGAGCTAAATCACTGAAATGAGCCAGAATGTCCATCACTACCTTGTTGTGATGTCAGGACTCATCGGCACTCAAATCGTCTTAGCTGTTTAAAGCACATCTGAAACAAAATCTGTGCTTTTCAAAAACTGCTCTTCATAAACAAATGTTTTACATTTGCAAGCATTTGCAAGTAACTTTTGCAAGTTTTCTCTTACATAATTAAAAAGTAAAAGTAGGACTTTCCTTTCAAATGAACGCAGTGTCCCAGAACTTTGACCGGCAGTGTGTGTCGTCTCTCGTACTGTAGTGAGGAGTTGACATTGTGATAAATATTTATGTTTTTATAGAAGCACTTGATGCATCATGCCCACTTGATGTGCTTATATTATCATCAATCACCAGTAAAGGAGGGTTACCATTTCAAAGCCCATACACTGTATTTGAACATCTCTATTTACAAGCATTCATTTACATGAAGAATACAGTTGGCACAGGTGCTCTGTCTGCATGCTTGCGTGTATTTAAGTGACCGAGTGTGTGTGTTTCTGTGCATGTGGGCTGCTCGTAAACGCACAGTAGGTTGTTTCAGTCTAGTTTGGGTTAAAATATCCTTTTCCACCTCTTTTTTCACTGTAGCTCCATCACTGGGCCTGCAGCAGGCCCTCCCACTGGATGGGCTGCGAAAAGACCTCTCTCTCCAGCCACATCTCATAGCTGTAGTGGAAGTCCTCGGGCAGCTCCACCCGCTGACCCAGCACACTCTGCAGGCAGTTATCCACTGGCGCAAACTCGCTGTTCTGGTTTTTATCGTAGCGTCTGGTGTTGAACTTCTCAATGCTCTCCCGCAGGGCACACTCCTCTGCCTGAAAGTCCCATGGCCGAGCATCGATATCTGACAGATAAGAATGAGAGAGAAATATGATAGCCTTTTTCTCAGGACTGTCCACATTCACCTCTCAAGGACTGTTCTCATTAATTTCCTGGTATGATTAAGCAATAGAACATGAGAGGGAGTAGTTCAACACTGCTGTGATGTTATTTGTGATAACTCATGGAACTCACAGTTCCATTGCTCTTATACAACAGAGGAAGTAAAGCAAAGAAGACGAACACTGGCTGCGTCCAGAAATGTCCAGAAAGTTACTGCTTTTTCCTACTGATCCCCCTCCTCTCCTCTGTGACCCAAAAAATGATTTCTTACCGGCTGTCTGAATACCACAGAAGATGAGAGTAGCCACTTCAAACAGCTGCTGAAATTGGTTTAAGTGGAGGATACATCTATGCATGCCTTTTAGAGTCTTTTACAGATTTTAGGGTAAAATCCAACTATACTTTAGATTCTAATTATCTGTGTTGTGTATTTTGTACGTGGTGTAAAATACAATTAAAAAAAACATGGAGTATAAAACCACACCAGCGTGAATAGGCAGGCTTTGTGTTGCAGCTTAGGCGTTGCATTCAAGTGAGCATTGTGATTGTCTCATTTCATCAATAGTCAACATTCTCTCTATTTCTCCCGCTCCTTTCCTCTCCTCAATTCCTCCGTCTTTTTCCGGGGTAGGAGAGGAGCAGTAGAATGGAAGGGGGAGGACAGAAAAAGTAGCAAAAGTTTCTGGACGCAGCCATTGTTTCAAATATGTTTCTTCTTCCTTCTTCCACCAAAAAAGTAGTTCCAGCAGCTTGGAGTAAGGCAACCATGTTGGTCAGTGGATGAAAAACCAGCTGCCATCTGTATATCAAGCACCATGCACCACACTGTTTATGATTTACATATAATTTGCAGAGGTAATCTACTCAGCTCTGTACTCTTCTGCACTAATTATATTATTAAACATTATATTTTTAAGGCATACTTTTTGTATTAGATTATTCTTGGCCTCCAGACCTAGTTTTGAACTATTGTGTACTTCTTCATTGTATAAGTGTAATGCACGTCTTGTTTAATTACACTATGTAGAGTCTATATCACTGGTCATGTTTATAATACTGGCTGTTTCTTCCAACAAAAAAGTGGTTCCAACAGCTTAACCCTTGTGTGTTGTTCATGTTTTTGTTACTCTGTTTTGTTACTGCATTATTGATTTTTTTTTATCAATACAGCCATAGCAATTTATGTAAAATGCCAGATGTTTAAAATATCACAATAGGCCAGTGTAGGGTTCTCCTTTAGCAGCTGTAGCCAGTCAGCAGCCTGTCCCGCACACACACACGCACACATATACAAACACATATACACACAGACACACACACACTAACAGCAGGCCATGTAGGAGGAGAACAGTGAAGGGACACAGCACCTCCACACTTTTATTCCCCGTGGGTTCACCCCAACACCAGTGTGAAGTCTTTGAAAATGTGTTATTTTATATGATCTTCACAGAAAATGAGCAAAGGCCAAGGAAATAATGGGGTTGAAATAATAATAAATTGCATTTTTTCTTTTGGTAAACATTGAAAATGGGTCCCACAGACCCCAACATCACACAAGGGTTAAAGCGACCATTGTTGTTGGGCAGTGAATGAAAAAAGTGCTGGTGTCAGATAAACAGTGCTCAAAAGGTCTTAGAACGCTCACTAAATACAATTCATGACTCGCTTATTTATCAATTTGAGCTAAGGTTATAATTTCTTCATTGTTATCAGAAGTTATACCAACCAGTAATGACCAGGTTTACTAAATGAAACTTTAAAATGATTCCAGTACTGAATTTAAAACTTTAGTAAGGGAACTTAAACCACTTAACCATAAGCGTCTCTTTCCTTTACGTAGGTTAGTAGAAATACCTTTGAATATGTTAAAGCACTTTCCACACTATATTAACAAATGTAATAATTTAAAAAATACAAACGATGACAGAGATGTCTCAGGATTACTTTTGAGCACTGTAACAACATGGGTAGAACAATGTACAATCTGAGTGTGTGGTCAAAATTGACTGTTTTGTAATGTTTTATAATGCTGCTACCAACCACTTGCTCTACGTCAGTGGTGTCCAACCTTATCCACAAAGGGCTGGTGTGGCTGCAGGTTTTCAGCCAACTCAAGCAGTAACACACCGGAAGTTTGTCACCTGTTTAATCACTTAGTCTCAGTCTTCAACAACTCATCACGTATGCTAGAATGACGTGGAATATGAAAATAGAACATACAAATAAGCTTTACATTTTGTTATGCAAAGTGATCTACCCTTAAAGCTGCATTCGCATGAATGATGTGAATTTCACTGCCGAGCAAACCGTTCACACCTGTCACTCTAACAGACATGGCTGAGTTCTACTGTTCTCAGTTTGGTTTTCTTTGAAGTTTGGCAAGCTTTTCATCTCAACTCAGTTTTTAATTTCTAACTCACACTGTTCCAATAAGAAAACCGACATCAGTCCCAATCATAATAGCAGCCAAAGAAACAAAAAAGCTGATTTGAACTTGGCTCTGTAAGTTCTAGGTTAACATTATTGCCATAGTAAACTTGCTGTTTGTCAGCTAAATGTAGATTTCGTGATTAATTTTTTTTCCCCTTTCGTGCGAGTTTACCGCTTGCCACAACAAGCTGTCTCCCCTTAGCAGAGCCACAGAGAGCTATTTCTCTTCTCACGCTGTTGAAAGCGCTAAACTCTCACTCTCAAGAAAAAAATTCACCACAATGTCTGCATTTAGCAGCCAAATTTATCTATAGAGACAAACACAGGCAAGAAATAATGACCCGTGTGTTTTTCTGTAATCCTGCTTGTAATCACTCTATTTTTAGCATATACATGTAATCTGTATACTGCCCTTTTCCTGTAACTGTAACAGAATACAGTTACCTTTTATGTATCCTGATTACATAACACTGTTACATGTATTATGTTACTACCCAGCCTACTAAGCTCTGTACTCTATTTCATTAATTACAATTTACTTTCTGCCTCATACTGTTTTGTCCTGTTTATTTGTTAAGTTATATTTGTTCTTGGGCTCTGAGCATAGTTTTGTGTTGTTGTGTGTGTTTATGTCTATGTCACTGGTCACTTGTACAGTACTGTCTTGTGTGTTGCACTGGAGAAATGTTATTTTATTCCTTTGTATACTTATTTGTGGTTGGGATGACAAGGTTTTGAAATAAAAATGGAAACTAAAAATAGAATAAAAAAATACATTTTTAATCAGACAGGAAGATGAATTTTGATCTTTTTATAGCTGTCTTTATAGGTTATAATTCCCTTATAATCTGAAATACTATCTTTCACAAACAATACGCTGTTCTCACTTATATAACTTGACACAGTGGACTGAAGATGCCATGGTTCTTACCATTCCCATAGGCCCAGTCATCATTAAGCCGATGGCGGACCTTCTGATAGATGGCCGACATGGTCTTCATGTTGCTCTTTCTCCACTGGCGGCCAAGGTACTTCGTCTGAATCTTGAGGAGTTTGAGTACATAGAGTTGCATCATAGCTTGCTTGACTTTCAGTGCCCTCTTCAGGATTGGAGCAGACTTAAACACCACCAGCATCTGGAGAAGAGTGCATAGTCAGCTTCTAGCAGCATCTAAGGTATCAAACTCCACTGACCCAGAACTAATCCTAGTGCTGTCATATGAATTTTACCACATGACACATGACAACACCATTACACATAGTATCCTCCATACGATCAAATGGAATATTTGGGAAAAAAAAGTCCCCTGCACTAAACTGAACAGCCAAAACAGAACAAAAACAGTGAAGTCTGAGCTTGTCGCTACTCTTTTCTTATCTGTACTTTTGCTATTTTATCAACAATTTTATAACAGTATGTCATACAGTGTCAGAAACCACATAAGCAAATCTATTTCAGATTACAATCATAATGTGGATTGAGGCAACTGTGTGATGGTTTGGACGTACACCTTGCACAATGCTAATTGGTTGGATATAAGCTTCAGTTACTTGTTAGCTGTATTAGCCTCATAGCTCCAGCTACACCAAGCATGTCATGATTACAGACTACATTTGGGGAAAGTGGAAAACTATTCCTTTAATAGACATTTGTCATTGTTGCAGAGGATGGATTTAACCATACCATGGATACTGTAATAAGTGCAAAAATGCCAAAACAGAAATAAATAATTAAATAGCTTCAGCATCATCAGCATTGTCATCAACATTTATCAATACTGTTGAGGTTAGTAATAATATTTTATTAGTAGTAGTACTCATTTTTTTTTGGGTATATCATGATATTATATTGCCATTGGCAGTATAGTGGAAATTATCATGATACAAATTTGAGTGCATATCATCCACCCTTAATACCCCAATGGAATAAAAATATACGTACATGTATAAACAAAATATATGTGCCACATTGTGCATCAGGTCTATTTAACTGACAATGAAATAATAATTATGTTATCAGAACCATTAAGTAAATTTTTATATTATTTCTTTTCTTCCTTAAGAGTAATACTTGGTAATCAATCAAGGCTAATCAAAAACCTTTATTAAAACTATCAAATAAAGACCAAGCTACAAAAATCCAAAAGCCCTTGTTTTAGTTTTTTTAAAATGAGTTTATTAGTTGGCACTCATTTTTTAAAAAATGTTGTTAATAAATAAATAAATAAATAACTCTCACAGTTACTAGGTAGGGGATGATTAACAGTCGTCAAGCGGGAAAAGAGGGTTCAAGCCCCGCTTCAGACAGAACCTTGTGTAATTTTATAGCATTTAGAAACTTATTCCAATATACTGACATAAGTAACTTATTACTGCACTAATTAAAATGTACTTTATTGCACTACATCTACTTCTTTTTATTTTTCTCTAGGTCTCAACATAGGCTTTTGTTTCTAGCAATATCCGAGCTCAGAAGTAGCTTTTACTCTAACCTATTTGTACTAGCTAAGATGTATCTCCAAGCAGACAACAAAGCACTTTTGAGAGTCACTCTGGAAAAAAACGTTTGCTAAATGCTGTAAATGTAAGTAAATATAATAAAATGTATGGATATGTATGTATCCTTTATCACCCCACTCATGTTTAAAAATTGAAAAATTAATATTCTATTTAGATTACTGCACAGGACTGTAACACTTTGATTTAAAGCAATCTTGAAATGCAAAATATAAAATATCAAAACTCAGAATGCTATATGTTATATCTCACCATCGTCCTAGAGTGCTTCCACTTAGTGAGTTTGTTGAGAATTCGCAGTAGGTTGATGCAGGAGAACAGATTCCTCCAACAGAACTGATTACTGTCTCCAGCTTCCTGTTAACATAAACAGACACAACCAGACAACGTACATCTCAGAGATTTTTTTAGACTCATTGCTTACACCCGTTTAGATCATCTTACAGATGAGCAGCACTGGCGAAAGAGAAATACTGAGAAGAGTCAATAGAAAGTAGAAATTACCAGGCTTTCAGCAGTTAGCTCAGGCATCTCATGGACCACACAGTGAGGGAAATCCAGCACACATATACTGCAGTCAGAGCACACAGTGCAACACAATGATTAAACACATATGAACACATATCCAAGAATGTTTGGTGTTCAAGAGGCAGAGGCCTAAACATGTCCTACCTGTTTTTGGCACTGATATAGGACATGATGTTCTGGTTGAAGAACTTGAGAATGAGGGGGATGCAGTTGGCAAACACCAGATGCTGGGACACATACTCAAACTGCACAGGACGAAGCAAGCACAGTAATTACAGCTCAGCTCATGAGACGCATCTAATATTGCATGTAATATTGCATATTGTTTCTGCGCAAGAAAATCTGTCAAGCTGTTCAGAAGCACGTTTAATTATCATAAATCAACATGGTGTTCAGAGAAAAGCTAGGCAAGTTGATATTTGTTTGCAAATTAATATTATTTGCAAATTAATATTGTTTCTGGTACTGTTTGACATACTGTTATCTATAAAAATGGACAAAAGTATTTTTCAAAATTCAGATGTCAAGATGGCTACTACTGTTTTTACCCATGTCATGAAGTATTTTATGTTACATACATTTTACTAGACAACAGTACATCACGTGGTGTCAAAAAACCAAAAACGTCAATGTCAAACAATTCCACCTAGTTTGAGACAAAGATTTTTCATTAGCACAAAGCTAATAATGCTAATTCATTACTTTTTAGCTACATTAGCTCCAGCGCTAAACTAAAGAAGCAAAATTCAGACACCAACCATTTCTTGGCTGTTTATTTTACCCCAAACAACATTTGGGGTAAAATAAAAATTGTGTAAATGTGACTTTTTTGTCAAACTATTTATTTTAGATGCAGCATTTGGCAAGAATTAGCATCAGGAGCTTGACGTTATCTCTTATTTCATTACTTCTTAGCTACAATAAACTTATAGCTCCTGTGCTAAACTAAAGAAGCCAAATTAGACACCAAAAATGCTTGGCTGATTAATAACATTTGGGGTAAGATAAAAAATGTGTAAATGTGACTTTTTTACCAAACTATTCCTTAAAGAACCGGCATTTGGCAAGAATTAGCATCAGGAGCTTGAAGCTATCTCTTAAAGGCATAAATATATTGGATTCTAAATCTACTACTATTATCTTTGGTTTCTATTCTATTTAAATACATGATATGATTTTTCCCTTGTTCTTACCAGAGCAATGATGCTGCATAGCAAAAACCCATCTCATAAGGTCTATGGTTAGTTTTTCCATCATTGATGAGACAAGAGGAGGAAAGCCCTTCATTTTTAATCACATCTTTGCTGTGGTTCCATTTCTAAGATGAGATTCAGGCTTCAGGGTGATTTTGCTTCATGATGAATTGCCTGCATTTGATTGCTGTGTTCCACATTTACTACATCTCCAAACATTAACCATCCAGTAATACTGAGACATGACAACACCACTGCAAACAGAAACCGACTGGAATATTTAAAGTACAGCAGCATTACCACAAATGTTTTCGATGAGCCAAAACTGGACAAAATGTAAGCTTCAAGATGGCTGCTAATACTGTGTTAGCTATTCAATGTATTTTTATCATTCACAGTATGTGACAGTGTGAGAAACCACACAACGCTGCTGTCGGAGAAAAAATGTCATATCTCCAAACTGATAACTTTACAGGAGAAAGAAAAAATACACTTTACTTTTAATGTAAGTTAATGGAACCAGAGTTTTTTCCGCATAATTTCAGGCCATTTCTTTTTGTCCATTCATCATGAAATTAATCATGTCAAAAACTCAAAAATGACAAAAATGAATATACATGGTTTTGCTCTGACAGCAGCGATATGCAAGTCTTTTTGATATAACAATATGATGTGATTTGTGGCAAGTGACTGATGATTTAAGCACACAGTTTGCACAGTGCTAACAGGCACGATATAAACTTCCATATCATGTTAACTACAATAGCCTCATAGCTTCAGTGCAAAATTACACCAAACATGTCTTAGTAGATCGACTACATTTGGGGTACCATGTAGTTCCCGATCTGTTCTCTATAAGAGACATGCAGTTGGAGGAACCGAGCCATTACATCTCAAACAGTATTTAAAGTGATCAAGAGAATGTTTGGTGTCTGAGGTTTGCTTCCCTAGTTTTGCACTGGAGCTCTAAGGCTAGTGTAGCTAAAAAGTCATAGAACCTTATTACTGTGCAATCTGCATGGATAAAACAGCACCAGCCTCAAAACCATGTTATTTTAAATATACTTGCTTTTGTGTTTGTCACACAGCATGACCTATTGTTATCTATGAAAAGGGACAAAAGTATAATGCATAAACAGTAGCTGCCATTGTGAAGTCTTGTGTCTGTGCAGTGATGTGTAAAAGTTTGGGCACCCCAGGTCAAAACATGTTTTGTTGGTTGTGAAGTAAAAGGAAGTTAACACATCCTCTACAGAGAACTTCTGCACATTTTAATACACAATTACTGTTTATTTACTGTATTTAACAGATTAGAACATAAAATATGACCTGTGCAAAAGTTATGGCACATCTTATATTCTGTGGTTTTTTTCCAACATGTTCAACTTAGCAAATAAATGAAAATTTGGTTAAATAAAAATGTCAGAAAAATGCCATATTTAAGTGTGTTCGCCGCAAAGGATGTGTTAACTTATTTTGCACTTAGAAAGTCAACAAAACATGTAATCTGATAGAGGGAGTTTAAACTTTCGCACACAACAATACTTTTGTCCACTTTTACAAATAACAGTATGTCATACAGTATCAGAAATCAAATAAACAAGATTACTTAACAACACAATGTGGTCTGGAGCATGTATGTGATGATTTAGGAATGCAGTTTGATCACAATGCTATTTGGTGGCTATGAAGAGAGAAAGGGCAGAAAAACGTCATCTGCTTGTTGAAGTCAAAACACTTTGAGTCAGCATTCAAAATTCATAGGGAAATTTTTGATAACACATTAAAAGTCACTTAAAGCTGAAACAGTCGCTTTACTACACGCACAACAATGAATACAATATAACAGTAGATTTGTTTGAGCCTTTTATCTGTGTAGATTAAAATACATCCGAACTACAAAAAGCTCAGTGTGGGATGTGTGCTAGTGACATGATCCGCATGACATACTTTGCAGTCTGTTTTGGTGAAACGGACACTCATAAAAATGTATTTCTGTCTTTTACTAATCCTTTCAATCACTGACACAGTGTCAAATATTACTGAATAAAGGAGAGACATGTTGTAGTTGTATGCAAAACCTTTGAACACCCCCAGTTAAATTAAGTTTTGTTGATTTTGTAAGTGAAAATAAGTGACCATCCTTAAATATGGCATATTTCTTCTTATTGTAGTGCACAAGTTGCATTTATTTGCCAAGTTTAATACCGGACAAAATTCAGGCTTCAAGATGGTTGCTACTGTTTATGTGATGTACATATGCCTGATCTTACAGAAAACAGTATGTCACACTGTTCTTAAATCAATAAAACGTGCTATTTGAACAGGGCTGCCAAAAATGTTGCATATGACAATATGTTATATAACCTATATGCATGTGCATCACCTTTAGTTTATTCTATCTTTATATATATATATTTTGAACCACTTTCCTTCTCTACACTGTCAGAAATAAAGGTTCTGTGCTGGTACATTTTTCGTTCATCAAGGTACAAACAATGTAAATGTTCCCTCAAAGGTACAACAGTGGTTTTAAGTTCCAATTGTGTATCTTAAATAAGTTTTTCCCAGGTTTTAAAACAGAACAATAAAATAAAAAGCCTGGAGACGAGACGGGGTGTGTGGAGTCAATACAACTTATAATAATATAATTTCAACAGATTATGGTACAATTATGTTCCCTGACTAAAGGTGCTGAGATGTACCCTTGGGGGTACTACCCCAGTGACAAGAGGGGTACTGCCCCTGTGACAGTTTAATACCTTTATTTCTTAGAGTGTACAAGCAACCATTACTTGTTAGCTACATTAGCCTCATAGATGCAGTGCAAAACTAACTTCAGACATTAAACATGTCTTGGCTCGTCGACTACACTTGTGGTAAGATATGTTAATTCAGTTGTGCCTTTAAAGGCAGGTAGAGTAGCAACGGATGCTGCAGCAGTGCACTAAAGGATCCCACCAAACCCTCTGCAGTTCTCTTTGCAGCCTGTTCCATCCTCTACCAGCAGATGGCGCCAGTCTGCGCAATTCACTTAATCCACTTCACACTAGCATAATCATAACAAGAAAAAATGAGATTGTCTCACTCATCACACAGGATTAGACTGAACTGTCCTGACAAGAGTAGGCAAATCGCAGCCTAGAACACTCTGTTCTCTCTTCTTTTTTCGTTCTCCTCAATCTAGGTCTCCCTCTCATCCCTCGTTCTCATGCTCCTGCGTCCAGGTGATGCCAGAACATACCGTTTGATGTTGGAGGGCTCAGTTATCGTAAGTGTTGAGTGTTTTACTGGGCTAGCTGCAGCATCTTCTCTGCTGTAGTCATGATATAAGCTTCCTCAAAATAGGCCCTAAATCCCCTCAGTCTAGAATATGAGAGATTTGCTTTTCATTGGAGGAGCCTCATTTCTCATTTCTCTCTCTCTCTCTGCTGGATATGGATGGTGCTTTGACTGTGTGCCTATCAGCACAGTGCAGGATCAGTTAGCTTCAGGAGGTGAGAGTGAGGAAGGGGGGGTGAAAAGAACCGAGAAAATAACAAGAGAGGGGGAGATGGTTTGAGAGTGAGAGGCAGAAAGTGATGAACAAAGAAAGAGAGATGACCAGAAAGACCTGGGGAGATACAGAGAAAGGAGAGAAAGGCAGAGAGATGTTTCTGACCTGGTAGATATGGTTGAGCTTGAAATGCTTGAGCAGCAGCAGCAGCAGAGCAGAGATGGCCTTCACAATAATCTCCTTGTGTCTGTTCACGTCAATGCCCAGCTTCATGCTCTGGAGGACAGTGATTCTACAACACAGAAATATACATTAGCATTCAAAAGTTATGTTAATTATTCATCAATGTCATTAGAAAACCATTAGAAATTTTTTATAAGCCCATTTATATTAACCTGGGAACTCTATTTCGATATATATATATTGACCATGAAATGTTGACCATGATTTCCAGCCTTTCCCCACTGATCTTAATGCAGGTGTCACTTTAGTCACTATTTCTACTGAAACACTACACCAGCGGTCGCAACCCAAATGTTAAGAAGAGCCATTTTGTCCTTTCAACAAAAATTAATATACCTTGGGAGCCACATTTTTTGTCCATTTACTGAAGTGACGTTTTACCATCTTAGCTGTAAATATGTCTCAGTATGTGTTAATGTCCTAGTGTAGACTGAAAAATATAATATAAACAAAAACTAATTTTAATATTAGACTAAAGCTGAGCTAAAGCTTAAAGCAGAGCAAAGTAAGTCTGTCTTTTCGTTTATATTATATTTTTCTCGCATCTCTGGCAGGAAACTATTCTACAAAAGTTTAATAGTTTTTTGTAAAATGTCTCTTAACTTTTGACTTTTTTCAAGGCTGAAGTCAGCTTCTCATTCAAATTGTTCTGTTCCACCTTAAATGGTGCCTGAGGCATCAGAATGTAACTACTGCAGCATTTAAGGTGGAATAGGAGAATTCGAAAGAGAAGGTGACTTCAGCTTGGTGACTTTTTAGTGTTTGAGAGTTTTTTGCTGCAGATTAAATGTATCAGGAAACCAGCTAGAGTGCTTATAAATGCAAATAAGTCCATTCGTCTCCAAATAAACATCTTGCATTCATATTCGTCTTAAATCTTTCTCTTTGCTGTTTCGTTATCTATGAGCTAGGCAAGACTGTTGTATGCATTGCTATGGTGACCAGCAGTCTGTATGCCAACGTTCAGGGTAAAAGGGTGAATTAGCAGTTATACATTAACTCCAGCGTTTAAGACCGTTTACCTAAAAATCTAATTCTGCTGTAGAGCCATAACAGTAAAAGAGCTGCTTGAGGCTCAGGAGCAGCATGTTGCCGACCCCTGCACGAGACAGTTGAGCACTTTTTGTGACTGAAGCTCTTGTCCTCTTGCCAAATCGATGTTAACTGGATCTGCTCAGCATTGTTTGTACATGCCACAGAGCATGGTAGGATGTTAACTGCTTAATTCTATCATGCAGTGCACCTTGACCTGAAGCATATGTACATTTATTCAGGTTTTCCTATGTACTGTGCTATAGCTTATCCACCTACACTCGCAGTAAAAAAGGTACTGAACTGTTCCTGGGGTGCTGCCCTCAAGGTTACGCCTTCAGCACCTTTAGTTAGGGAACATAATTGTACCATAATATATTGCAATTATATTTTTTAAATTATATTGACTCCACATGCGCTGTCTCGTCACCATCCTTTTTATTTTATTGTTCTGTTGTAAAAACATTTGGTTTTGAAAAGGTACAAATGTGTACCTTTCCTCTGAGAAAAAACTTATTTAACCCCTTAAAATCCCAGGCTTATTGCATACTTAGGTGTATTATTCAGTAACTACAGGGACTTCAGGGCAAACTGGCTGAGCTATTCTTAGGTAACAGAAGTGTGTAATAAATCTGGCCATTTAAGAGGTTATATGATAAATAATATATTGCACTTTTAATATTTGACATCCTTTCTTTGTAATCTATTTGTAAGTTGTCTACACTGAGATTTTATAACCACTTTTCAAATACTCTGCACTCTGGAGGTCAGTTTTATTATTCACTCTCAATATTTTACAGCTTTCTCAGTTATTATGCAATCTACAACTCTGTTCATCACTCTGGACCCATCTAGCATTTCTTTTTTTTTACAACTTCCTACAAATTACACAAAACATTTGACCTTATAGAGTACCAACATCATAAAAGTCTTTTTGTTTCATTTTTTTTTCATGCATATGCAACAAAATGAGTTCTATTTTGTTGAAAACATTCACAGTTCTGAATGGTATTGTCCACACAGTCCCACAGGTCAGAAAACAGAATCATGTTGGTCTTTAATGCACCACTTCACACAGAGTCCTTGAGGTGCTGTGCTCAATAGTGTGTGTGTGCGGGGGTGTGTGTGGGTGTAAGCTTACGGCATCTCTTCGGGAAGAACATCAGCGAGGATGTTGATAGAGTCAGTCTTGGCCTTGGAAGTTGGTGCTGCAGCCAGAAGAAGCTTCAAAAGGGCAATCTACAAACAGAGCAGTGGAAATGTATCATTAGTGCCCACTGCAGCCTGCTGTCCATTAGCCTGTCTAGCAAACAGAGATATGGATAGAAAATGTAGCCCTCCCTTCTGTTTCCAATAAACCATTTAATGATGGACATGATGTAATCCATCACTGGTGCTATCCAGCTGGAAATTCATATATGTCAGTTATAGTAATGTTATAGTTACAGTAAGGTGCAAAAATACTTGAGTAATTGTATTTCTGCCGGTTTTGCAGGTCACTTCTGTATTAAAGTGCTGTTCTTTTACTGCGGCAGTTGTACAGGACCATTTGATAAGACAAACGCTGCAGTGACTGTTTTATCTCCGCACAACCCTATTTGTGGAGAGGTGTAAATTATTTTTACACAGGGGGTTTTCACTTTTCCCTTTCACCCCTCATTTCTCACTAGCAGCTCAACACAGAGTCACAACATTTCACACTCAGAGATCCAACAATGTCCTAGTTAATCCGATCACAGAGTTACGTGGAAAAATATTTCATTTGATTGTATTAATTAAAATTATCCAAGTCAACTTCTATTCCACCTGCGGAATGGCAATTAGGCAGCCTACAAAAAGAAATTAGGTATTCAGTTTGGAAGATTTTTGAAGGTTATGGGCAGGAAACACTCACCACATACTGAGAAAGGCTGGGGAGCATCCCCACATATAAAATTTCTGCAGGAGTTTCTTCCACTTCCTCCTCTCCCTAGACAATCACAGCATTTACTGAGTCAGAATGACAGCATAAGTGGTAGTCAGTAACTGGTGAAAACAGCTGCATTTATTTTAGAATTAAACTAGAATTAAACTAACTGGGTTAGTTTAACACTTAGTAAGTGTTATTTGTCAAGCAAAAATAAAAAGCACACAGGCAAAGGGGTAAATCAAGATACATATTGAGTTGCACGCAAAAGTCTCCCGTCAAATTACATTTTTTTTGTTTTTTTGATTTTCTAAGTGAAAATAACACATCCTCTACACAGAACAAATTTAAATATGGCATTTCTCTGCCAAATTTTATGCATAATTTCTATTTGAGTTTAACATATAGGGAAAAAAATAAAACATGAAATCTGAAATGTTCTATAACTTTTGCACAGGCCACATTTATGTTTTATTTTTCTGCACTATATTAAATCCAGCAAATAGTAATGCACAGTTTGCACCAAAATGTGCAGGAGCATGTTCTCTGTAGAGGATGTGTTAATTTACTTACTTTCACTTAGAAAATCAACAAAACATAATTTGACCAGGGGAGCTCAAACTTTTGCATTCAACCGTGGGCACAAAATAATGTGACAAGGAATTCTCTCTGACCACTCACCATGGTCATTGGGCACTGCTGCAGCTCCTCTTCTCTCTTGATCTGCACCTCAGCGATGGAGACGTACTTATGCTGAGAGGGCCAGAGGGAGAGAGGAAGAGTGTATTGTCATGGTGACCGAGGAGGGCAATCTTGTCAGAGTGAGTGAAGGAGCGCTCATGCTCGGCATAAAGACGTATCAGTGTCCTGCAGCTGTTGGACTGCAGTGCTCCAATGCTAAGCTGAGGGCTAATCTTTGTCAGTCTAACACTGGCTAATGTGTCAATCATTCGCCAGAACAAGACAGACTGTCACTAGAACACATCATTGTGTTAAAAGTCTAAATCCAATGCCTAATAATACACTAGTTGCATTAAAATTAATTCAATATTTGTTGGACTTAACTGCACATACAAGTGCCGTTTCCAACACGTCTGTTTTGAGTGAAGTGGTGGAACGTAAATGTACTGTCTATATACATAGGTTTAGATCAGGGAGGCAAAAAAGCTGCTCTTGGAGGTCTATCACCTTGCAGATCTCAAAGATAAGTGGGGGTGGTGGGAGGTGGATCATGATATTACTGGTTAATATTATTTTGCCCCACTGATGCACGGTCACATAACCAAAACTTAGAAGTCAGGGACACTTCTTGAACATACTTGAACCCTGCAACACAACGTTAACACAACAATGCCATAAACATGTCACTGCAGATGTCATATACAGTCATGAGTTATCATGACACTTATGTTCAGTATTATACACCGATCAGGCATAACATTATGACCACCTCCTTGTTTTTACACTCCACTCAGACCAGCGCAACACACACTAACACACCACCACCACATCAGTGCTACTGCAGTGCTGAGAATGATCCACCACCCAAATAGTACCTGCTCTGTGAGGGTCCATGGGGGTCCTGACCACTGAAGAACAGGATAAAAGGGGGCTAAAAAAGTATGCAGAGAAACAGAAGGACCACAGTCTGTAACTGTAGAACTACAAAGTGCACCTATGTAGTAAGTGGAGCTGATAAAATGGACAACGAGACATAGAAACAAGGAGGTGGGCATAATGTTATGCCTGATCGGTGTATAACTCGTATTATCATTATTATTGGTAATCATTATCATATTGGTATCGTTAGCATATTATTGGTAATTGTCATAACACATAGAATGCAAGTGAACAAATGCTAATATCTGTGGCTGGCTTAGCACGCAGTATCATGCAATGCTCTGTCGGGTGGAGCATCTGAAGTTGAGACCCCAACCTTGATCTAGTTCAGCCTCTCTTTTAGCCCCTAACTCACCAATGAAGCACCTCTGGTTGGGGTTGAAACCAAATTTTGTTGGGCAGCAGAACTCCTGAAGCAGCACTGCTGTCTGATATACAGTACCAGTCAAATGTTTGGACACATTTGATTAAATGTATGTTTTTCATGATCTACAAGGCAATTTGATCTTGAAGGCTTATGCTTAAATGCCTGAGACATATGAACATCAAATTTTGTGACTATGTAGGAATTTGTTTCAAATGCCCCACTATCAAATATTTTTGAGCAGACAACAAGTACTCAGCACATGTGGATATCCAGGTGACTCCTTAGGAAGCTGCTTGAGAGAAAGCTAAGGGTGAGTGAAGCTGCATCAAGCTGCATATGTGACATCTAAAAGAAGTTTGTTTAACATGTTTTTGGTCACTGCAAAGCTCAAGTGTCAACAATGAATCTTTTCAGTCTAAAATGTATCTGTCTTTGGGAAATTAGTCTTGTACGTATTATTTCATAGTTTGGATGTCTTAATTTAATTATTCTAAAAAATGGACAACAGTAAAGATAAATATAAACCCGTCTGTGTGTGTCCAAAATTCTAAGTAGTACTGCACATTCATCCCATCTTGTGAATAACAAAAGAACATCAACTGGAATACACAGAAGCAAATAAAACAACTGCACTGACATTTTAAGACAAGATTTACTAAGGATATAAAACTGGAGATGCATCTCACCTGTTTAAGAGTCTTCACACTCTCATGAATAGGCCTGGGCAGCCCAACCAGCGTTTCTGTATCACTGCAAATGTCAGCAAAGAACCACTTAACAAACACTAGAATAACATCCCACCAGATTACAGCATACCACAGTACTAGAGCACATGATGATTTACATCATTATTGTCATATTGCCGCTGTCAGTGCCACTGAAGGCTGAGAGGTTAGACTCACTTTCCCAGAGTAAAGCCGATGAACTTGTTCCTGCTGGTCTCCAGAAAATGCTCAATGTCTTTCTCTCTGTGGGAGACAGAAAACAGCAGTGTTTAAAAAATACATTTGTTATAACAGTAATGTGAAACTATGAGCAGCACTACTTTTCAGATTATAAGTAAAGATGCGCTGGCTTTAGGCACACTGTTTACTTCCATCATGATGTTTTAATACAGCAGTAATCATAAACAGTTATCAAAATTATTCAAATTTGAAACATATGATTATCATTGGGTTTTATACAGAGATGGATTATCAGTATTGATGTGTATGTGGCTGATATCAGTAGAAAATCCTGAATTGCACGTTAGAGGAGAAAAAAAGAATACATTTTGTTACTGTGCCTTTAAGACTGATAAATGAGCTCTGCTCTGATTGGCTGCCCTAAATCGTGCCTCACTCAAAAAACAGTCTGAAACACTCCTTATAACTTCACTGTTAATGGGAGGGGCTAAACTGCTGTAGGCTGAACAGTGGATTTATGTAAATGTGTTTCATATATTCAAAACTGGCTGTTTTTGCAGCTTAGTTTCCATATAAGATCTGTTCAGACTGGGGAGTGAATGTTGTACTTTGATTGAAACTTGTTTTGTTTCAATCAAACTCTTTTATTTCAAGAAGGTGAGGAAAATTTGGTTCAATTAAAAAGAGCTCAATAAAAAGAAACATTTTATGGCCGTATCATGCAATACTTAAGGATTCAATATCGCTAATGATCAAGAAAAAGTGGTATCCTGCCATCTTTAGTTTTATATTATACTATATCATTAAAACCAGTAACCATCACATGCTTACTTATTAGAAAACTTCACAACTGCCACAATATAAAGTGGTTCTTGTAATTAGAGGAGATCTTGCCTGTATCACAGCCTGCAGATGCAGCAGACTGCAGGTGTTCACTTACTATACGTGTACCTTTATGACTAAGCATAAAGTCATGTGCATGTAAAAAAAAGCATGTGCAGGTGTCCCCGGGGGTCCATCCTCATACTCAATGTGTTTACAGAAAAGGTCTCACCACTGTGCTAAGCACTTAAAGCCTCATCAGTCACGCTGCAGTACCCCTCGCTCACTCTCTCTCTCTCTGTTTCTGTATTCAGCAGTAGAGCGCAACGCTGTGCTACGTTTCATGAGTAAACACACATTTGTAAAGTCGCAGTGGCTGCGGTAAATAATGCATGAGCTTAGAGATAACGAGGAGTATTTGATAAAGCCTGCGACTGCGCTCACAGCCATGTCTGCCCCAGATCCCTCTCTTTATGTCTCTCTTTTTCTCCCTTTCTCTCTCGCTCCCAGCCCACACAGTCATGCATTATTCATGTCCCAGGTGCATACTTCAGTAAAGTTGCTTGTTTTCCAGAGCTGTGGCAGGGCTGGACATATTTGACGGGTTAAAACCTTTATTCATTGGGCAGAGTTTGTGAAATCTGTCTCTGCTTCGCAGACTGAATGTACAGCAAAATGACAATAAAGCCTGTAGACACCTGTTCATCCAGCGTTTCTTCTGAAATCAAGGGTAGTGAAAGGGAGTTTGTTCCTACTTTGCTGCTGCTAGTCTTGTGAGGAGGCTTTGCTCTCGATGTTGGAGCATTTGCAACATTTATGATGATTTAATTGCATTCAGCCACAAGAGTATTAGTGAGGTCAGGTACTGATGTTGGAGTGATACAGTACTAATCATCCAACTTGGTACTTGTCGGAGCTCAATCACCCCAGAGAATGTCATTTCACTGCGCCACAGCCTAATGCTGAAGGGTTTAGACTCCTCTAGCAGACACTTGGCGTCAGGTATAGTGACTTTAGGCTCTAGACTGTCCCATTCTTTTAACAAAGCTTTTCTATGGAGATTATACAGCTATGCCTGCACACAGAACATCTGTGTCAACAAAGAGTGAACCTTGAAGTATCTTAATTTGCTGATTAGAAGGAGCATCTGGATGGACTCATGTAAAAGCTGCTCCCAAGCATTACAAGCCCATCTCATAATGTATATCCAGTTCAATTCCATAGACCTCTAATAAATATGGTTTTACATGTGCTATTCATAACATGCTGAAAAGCTGAAGCTGATTAGCTCTTAGAGCTCTAGAGTTAATATTATCCTTTTGCTTATTTGCTTATATTACATAATTATTTCTGTTATTACATAATTACATAATTAGTTGCATAGATATGTAAAAAATTACATTTATATTTGATGCACATTTGCTACATTGCAACAAGTTTGCACTTTTTTATTTTTTGAATTTGAAATTTTGAATGAATTTGAATGAATAATAGTATGTAGTATGTAATAAGCCTGGGATTTTAAGGGTTTTTTGAGCTTAATATGGTAAAGGAAAAAAACTGTTGTTCCCAGTCTTATATATGTGATTTCGCCTTTCAGTGTTTCGCCCTTCAGGGATTGAGGGCACTCCATTATGAGTACTGAAATTAATTTACATTACTACCTTGGCAACTGTAGTCACTACAGCAATGCAAAATGCTTTCTTTGCTTCTTGTTAGCAAGTTTAAAAAGGGAGTGAATGGAAAATTGCGGGACACTGGATTTTGAATTAGCTTTAATATAAAATTTCAAATGCAGTCTATCTAAATTTCCTTCTGCCTGATGAAAGGGCCAGATATATAGAGAAACAAAATCTGATTAGACTCCCTCAGTGTCCCTTTTCTGTCCCATAATCAGAGTGGAAAAATGACCCCAAAGAGTGGCCAGCCGTCACTTATTTTGACTTGTACCACTACCTGACCGAATTCGAGGCAGATGAAGCTACTCAATACTGTCATCTATTTAGCTAACATTAGCTAATGTTGTGATGTAATTGCTCAAGTCTGTAGCCTACTATTGCATGATAATGTACTACTATTAACAATATCCTGCTTGTTCTGTATCAATCTGAATCAAATTCAATATTGTCATTGAAGAGCTAAACGCTCAAGTATAGCTGTACTATTACATATTGTTAGCACTACTATTACCGTTACCTTCATTGTTATCTAGCTAGCGAGCTAACCTGGAGCAAGCTACGTAACTAGGATCTAAACAGCTTATCTAACTAGCTAAACTAATGAATGGGATACCATTTTTAAACAACTAATTCTCAGATAGAGAATTAATTAACTTTTCAACCTGCCTCACACAAAATGTCTGCTGCATACACAGATGTGGATACTATCAGGATCCCATAAAGTCCCTGTCTTTTGATAGTTTAAGCTAACTATGACATGTTTTGGGCTTTTAGAGACCTAATTACATCTAATATTCAAGAACTCTGGCTTTCATCTTGTGATGGGTAGATCACAAACATGAACCTACTATACAATACTGTAATAGCTATAAATGTAATAGCTATAATATAATAGAAGAAAAACATGAAAATGAACGGACAGGGGCTTTAATAAGTTATCTATCTGCACCGACAGAAAGTGCCTAGATGTGGGAACTATGCCAGAGTGGCAGAAAAGGTAAACTCGCTCTGACCCTGGAGCTAGCTATGGGAAAAGCTCCCTTGAGTCACTGTGACCACGGCCTGGAGGCAAAAATCAGGAAAGGTAACAGCGGTAATTACTCCAATGCCATTTAGCGGTGCCAGGATCGATACAGCTTCAAATAACAAGGCTTTTATTACATAAAAACCTTCCGTCTGAAGGACATGCAGTGACTTTGGTGTTTAGGAAGGAAAGAGGTAAAAATTAGCAATATCTAATTTAGCCTTAGCTGTCAGCTAATCTAAGTTTTAGTAAGTTACACATCGCAACTTTTATTTGAGCAAAGCAAAGATTCGTGTACTTGTTTTAGAGTGGAATTTGTATTTTTCTATTATTATTTCTATTTTTTCAAAACCTGCAGTAGCTGTGCACGAAATTAATAATGAAGCTTTTAAACTTCTAAAAAATCATAATCCTAATAATAACATTTTATCAACCAATGTATCTCCACCCTCTCACCCTATGCACCCCCTCTCTGGTTTTAGGTTGTTTAAGCACTGCATTTACTGTGTGTAGTCCATAAGACTGAAGGCTTTTTGCAAAAAAAAAGGCTTGTTATTTAAAACTTCATGGGTATAGCTAATAATGAGAAGTACTCTACTATGATGCAACTTGTGAACAACTCTTCAGTTGTTAATTAATTATTGAACAAGTTAAAAACATTAATTAAAGCAACTTTATATCTGTACCAGTAGAAATAATTATTGTACTGTAGATGTAAAGAGGTGCACAGTATTTTCTGTATGGTCTTTATAGTAGCTGTGATAAAGGAGGCTGTTTGCCTGTCTGTCTTACCTGACTTTAGGGGCCCAAGGTAGCCCTTTAGGGAAGGACACTCGGTCAGTGGGGGGCCGCAGAGGGGGCGGAGGGGGCGGGGGCTGGATAATGACATCACGGTCCAGAGGGTCCACCTCGCCCTCAATGCCGCTATCCACGTCCTCACTGTCATCTTCCTCATCCCGCGCGTCATCGTTCTTAAACGGGTCGCGCTCATTATAGGTGTCCAGGCTGTCCTGCTTGACCAGAGGCTGCGAGAGATTAAGAAACTGTTTTAAACACTCCTCACACAGATTTACACCAACAGCCTGTTACACCCTGATGCTGAATCTCTCCAGACCACAGACCACAGCAGTCATTCTGGACGCTCAAGCTACGTAAACATGACAAATGAACCAACAGAATTTTTTTGAACCTTTCAGTTTTTTAAGTTAAATTAACAGATGTTACCTAAAAAGGAATATTCCAGAGTTTTGCTATCTCTATCTGCAACATCTCTAGCATGTGATCGATTACTACAAACATTTATTTTGACATGTTAATCTGTGCATAGAAAAAAACAGAAAACCTGATGACTTAAAGTGAAGGACACTTATAATAGAAGTTGCTGACATCTATAACATTTTTGTAGAATTCTTCAGTCTCACATCAAATTCATTATTTTAGAGACAAGTTGTCCAAAAGTAAGACTGTTTGTGCTAACATGTCACCAGTGGAATTTTCACAGGCTCCGCTTGATACCAGCAAACCTTAGAGTAGAGGTCTCAAACGCAAATTACCCGGTCGACACTAGACAAGTGGTCTTCTCCAAGGGGAAAAGTTGAAAAAAATGCAGGGAAAAAATGTCCCATCATTTTTTTCAAGTATGAATTATGACTACACAACATGTACACTCACTTAAGTGCCTCATAGTCAATGTTTATTAGCAATTCTTCTGCCTCTACAAGCAACAGCTACTACTACTACTACTACTACTACTAATAATAATAATAATAATAATAGTAGTAGTGTTCAATTTATATTTAACAGTAGAATTATATAGGTCTCTTATTGTGAAAGCATTGGTCTTTCTGCTGAACACAAGTAAATTTACTTGAAGTTGACAAAGTGGTTAATTCTGACATGGTGTATCTGCCACTTTGTCCTAAATGAATTCACGAAAGCAGATATTGTTACAATAAAAGCTAAATGTATAATAGCTAATCATAACCACACCCACTCAGGAAGGTATCCGCTGGAATGGTTCCTCTTGTATGCAGTGCTCTATCAGTCTAAGCTGATTTTACATTCATTTAGCTTATTTTTGAAAAACAGCTACAGTGTCTATTGGGTAAAGTAATTCTACCCATTAGATGTAAATTTTTACCCACAGAAAAAAAGATTTGTGGCCAGATTTAAGGATAAATTGGTAATATGTGACGTGACGAGCTGTGTTGCTGACCAGATTAGCTCTTGGAGTGGTAGTTTGAGATCCCTGCCTGTTCGAAAGTTGGACAAAGCTTAATAAAAAATAGCTTGGATAAGACATTCTCTCAGGTCTGTCTCATCCCAGGGCCTTAGAGTGTAGCGACTAGCTTCAAATTTGTGTTACATACATACATATTTCAAACATTCATTCAAGGAATTCAGCAACTGCCCATCGCATCTGCTCTGAGTAAGTTTTCTGTCCTTTTCTAAGCAAAGGGAAATGTGTTGAAATGATACAAGCATACATGTAGTAGTATTTTAAAGCTGAGAGAGATTAGCATCAGGGTGATCATCAGGCCCTCTCCCAGCTACAGAGCCTTGTTCTTCTCTTTATCAGGCATTCCTCTCACATCAAGGTCCAGAAATCCATCTCATATAAGACATTTATTATCTCTGCCTGAATCTCCCCACCTTCAGGCTACATTTCATGGACTTACCGTCCACTGGCCATCCATCCATTGGGAACAATAGAAAAACCCTGCCTGTGGTCTAGACATAATGCCACACGGTTCTTTTGTGCATTCCAGTTGTGCAGATTGCCAGGCACAAACAAGTTCTTCACATCTCTAGTGCTGTTCAAATGCATGAATGGCAAAGTCCAGAGCAAGCATCAGGCATGGGTTGCATTAGTGGATCGGGTGTTTGGTGTCTTTTTTTCCCACAGGTGTGATGTATGGGTGTAGGTGTGGTGGCCTGGTGGTCGCAGTGCAGAGGTGGAAAGTATCAAATTATAACTACTCCTGTTACTTTAACATGTTTTTCCCAGCAAAAGAACTTTTATAATTAGATCATACTACTTACACATTTATTATTATTTCAAATAAAGTATTTTTTCTTATTTAACAACCAACGTAAGATTAAAATACTGATTGTAAAGCAGTTAGAACAAACCACTGGTAAAATTTCAAACATCTGATACACCTATCCATACTTCACCTACAATTGTGATCTTTTATGGCAACTTTTGTCAGGGTGGACAAGCGTTACAGAACACTGGCAAAAATCCTATTCAACGTAACAGTCTCTGTTTAGAGTTTCCTCAGAATGTTGAGGTTCCAGTGTAAAGGGCTGAGCTACCGAGTAGGACTATGTTGTTGTGGTTAAACAAATTGACAATGATGAATCTGCCACCATGCAATCCTTAGCTTGTTTAATAACAAATAACTACAAATAATTACACCCGCTCCATCAGCAAGCGCGTTTACATGCACTTAATAATTCGATCATAATCGGATTTCTGCAGTTATCCGATTATTCAAATGGTCATGTAAACACCATACTCCGATCTAGAAATCAGATTTAAAAATCCGATAAAGAGAGCTGGATTTTAGCTCAGTAATCAGATTTGTCAGGGCATGTAAACTCTTACTCTGATTTCTTTCAGATTTCTCAGTCTGTGCATGTGCGTAAGAGACTGCTATACCGGAAATAAGCAAGCAGCGCTGCCACGAGATGGCAGCAAAACACTTTTGGAGCGACGCTGAAACCAACTACATGCTTGAAGAATGAAGGATCTAAATACTCTTTATTTTCTAGATGATGTACGTTCATATTTTCAGGTAAAGTGGCGCAATGTTTTTTTTTTTCAAAAAAGCCTGGTTGCAAAGCAGAAATCCGATTACTGTCTGACTCATGTAGACCAGGAGTTTCACATTATCTGATTACTCAAGTGCATGTAAATGCGTTGATCAGCTTCCTGACAAAATCTGATTTTCTGCAGTTATCGGATTATTAATTGCATGTATACACAGTCATTGTGACCTTTCACATGCATAAAAAACAAACCATCTGAAATTAACACCATTCTAAATTTGTGTACCGCAGTTTCTCTTTAGGCTGAATGCTATGTTTGCTATTCCTTCTACAAAGCTTGACCAACCTAGCAACAGCTGCTAGGAAAGATCGCATATGTGGGCAGAGCATAGATACGTCAAATCTGAAAGCCAATCAAAGCCAGATGATTTTTAAAAAAGCCCCTTTATTAATCTGTACTAGCAGAACATGTTTTAATCAGTCACAGCTCTTAAACGTTTCTGCTTTAGTAGTAGGTTTTGCTTTTTATTTATTAAAGTGAGTTCTAAGGACAATTTTTTTCAGCTTGTGTTGACTGTAGACAAAAAAACTGGACTTAACAAATAAGTGGACTTGTTCTCAATCATGTTATCAACATAATTGCATAAGTGGTCTTTCAAAAAAACATATTATTAATTTTCTTTTGTATGTATTTAAGTGAATTATCACTGCATAGCAGCTCTCCTACGTAAGTAGGACTTTTCAGTACTCTTTCCAGCCCTGGTGTAGTGCTGTGACTATGAGCGGAGGTGAATCAGCCGTGACCGTGTGCCATCTATGAGAGAAGCCATTCTGCCAGCTAGTGAGAGAGAGAGAGAGAGCGTGTGTGTGTGTGTACATGTGGAATTAAGGCCTAAAACAAAGTGCAGATGAACATACATGAAAGTGAGGGAAGGAAAAAGAGGAGAGAGCAGAAAGAGAGAGAGAAAGAGAAAGAAAAAAGACAGAAAGAAGGAGTGTGTGCGTAAGAGAGAGAGACAGAGATACAAAGAGAGAGAGAAAGAGAGACGGTGAGGAAGAGACAGCGAGAAAGAGAGACAGACAAAGAAAAATAGAGAGAGTGAGAGTGAGAGACATAAGTGTTAAAAGAGAAAAGGAGAGTGAAAAAGATTAAAGAATGAAAAAAGAAAAGGAGTAAGAAAGAGAAAGAAAAAAGAAGGAAAGAGAGAAAGTGTGCACGTGTGTGTGTGTTAGAGACAGTGAGTGAGAGAGAGAAAAAGAGAGAGAGAAAGAGAGAGACAGAGAGAGAGAGAGAGAGAGACTGAGAGAGAGAGAGAGAGAGAGACTGGGAGGGAGAGAGAGTCCAAGAGAAAGGGATAGAGAGACATCTAATGTTTGGTGCTTTTACTACATACTACAGCCATTATGACCACAGCCAGCCTTGTTTCTAAGACCTCCCACCAACATAAGGCTTTAAAGAAAACTTAAGAGAGCGAACTGCAGAGAAGGAGGAGAGAGGAGAGAGGAGTGCAACAGCCCAAGACAAAAAGAATGCACACAGAGGGGTTCTGGGTAAAGACCTGCTTCTTGGCAAAGGGACTGTCTCCTTCCAAGCTATCAACAAAGGCACTCTGTAGGGACACAAGGAAGAGAGGGGGATGAGCCATAAAGGAAAGACAGAGAGCCAAAGAGAGAGAGAGACAGAGAGAGGGAGAGACAGTGAGAGAAAGAGAGAGGGAGACAGAGAGAAAGGGATGCTGTGTCCCAACCATACACTAATCACCATGCTATATTGTCGTTGTCATATCCGTAACTCCATTTATTTTGTTTTTATTTTGCTTTATTTACTGATCTTACATTCAAATACTATATCTTGTTATCTAGCTGGCTGTCAAGCATCCACTATACTTTCAAAAAAGCTCCTCCCTTTTTTTGATCGCACTGTGGAACAGTGAGGTACATCAGCATCATATGCTTAAAAACATGTTGGTTTTTTGAAATATACTCGACTTGTCACTGGTGAATATACTACATATGACATACTCAAAAATGTAGGGTTAGTGTTTAGTAGACAATTGGAACACAGCAATGGAGAGGGTGAGTAACAAGAGAGAGGTAGCAGGGTTGAAGGTTAGAGAAGACGAGATCTCTCTAACAGGAATAAAAGGTCCACTCATGTCCGCTGTGTAAGAGGGAGGCAGGTCAGTCAGTGCATTGCTACATCTCATTCACATTCTGCCTCTGCTACTCCAACGCTACTGCAATGTTTTAGTGACAAGTAAATTAGTGCTGCAGTGTGAAAACAAAGCAGCCGTGTTGCTCCTGGTGTGTGAGCATATGGAGTGGATTGTGTGAGCTGTGTAGGCTGAGTGAGCATACTGGTAGCTAACATACAGCACATTAGACGATTTGTAAATATATGCTGCCATCAAACTCTTGGGGCCACCTTGCTTCTTTTGAAATTTGAATTTTATTATTATACCTTTGAATCATTTCACTAATTAATACCTGCAAAGGTTATGTTAATGTAAAACAGCTGCTTGCTATTTTAACACTCAGCTTCATGTTCATCAAAAAGCTTTCCCGCTATGAAGTTGAGCCTGAGGAATAAACTGGCCAATGAGATCAGCCAACGAGAATGAGACATCGGCAGGATTTGAATTTCGATCTACAGACGATGTGGTGCACCTTCAGAAGGATGAGCCACTGTGGAGGCCAAAACAAATCACCCCATGGTTAACGATATGACCGCAATACAGGCCGCACTGGTAAATTCAGATACACAATCAGGATTAAAATAACAAAACATGTCTAATGTGTCCAAACATAATAGCATGTGAATAACATTGTAATACAGAAAACCTATTAAAAATCAGAAAAGTAATATTTAATTCACAGAAATCAAACCACAAAGAATTCTGGATAGTCCCTGCCCACAGTACTACAATATTTAATATGTGCAATTTTTAAGAGTTTCTGCTGTTTATTTGAGAATCTTTTAGAATTGTGATCATGGAAAACTAACGCTTATATTTAAAACCACCACACACCAGATGCACTGTATCACATATTACTGCCAGAACAGGACCACAAAAATTAAGGATAGGTGATGTGTGGTCTAAAATTTACACTGACAAAGAAACCAATTTAAAATCTCCAAAATAAACAGAGAAATGCTAACGGTCCTCAGCCTAGTATCCATAAGGAGGAAAAAAAGTGTTTGTGAATAGTTAGATAGCTAATACCAAATGAAATAAATTCATTAAGTTATGTAATAGTTCTTTACAAGTAGAGTATAAAATGAGCTTAAGTTTAATGTTTATCAGCATTTTATGATAACAATGCTTCATCCTATCTGTTACATGATGCTAGGCAATGCCCAGTTTACAACAGTTCACAGTCAACAAGTGACAAATATTTTAAATTTTAAAATTTAAAATATTAATTCAATAAACTCATGTGTATTAAAAAGGTGTCCCCGAACTTTTGACAGGCAGCGTAAATGGGCTGTTTTTCTGTTTCTTTGTTATTTGTCACACAAATGCTGTTGTTTATTGTGTGAGTGTGTGCGTGTGTGTGTGCGTGGGTGTGTCATACCCTGCGGCTCCTGCGTCCTCTCTTCTGTTGCTGTTGCTGCTCAATGAGCTCCATGGCGGAGGCTGGAGGTGAAGCGGCCCTCATGTTTCTGACCACCTTTATACTGTCCTCTGGGAGTGGGGGCAGCTTCAGCTTCTCTCTGCCCCGAACCTTCATCTCCTGCAGCTCCTCAAAGCCACCAAGAGTGAACTAAAGCACACACGCAGGCAAACACATAAGTCAATGGACAAAGCTGAGCACATATCAGCAGCTTCACTTTCCCACAGAGTCATCATCATTCAGCATCATCTGTGGTGGTTTGTCTGATAGGGGTGCAAAAATGCATCACAGTGCATCGATCTGAGTATAATATATAACTACATATAACTAGCAAACTATAGTAATATTCAATAAAGTATGCACACATTTTTGGCCATTTTTGGAAATTTTTGGATTGTTAGCCATCTATATAAACAAAAGGGGAAAAGTGGAAAATTGTGTAGGTATTCCTCTACTAGTTCAATTAAAAAAAAACCAAATTAATCAAAACAAAATTTGAGATTGCATTGAATTGCATTGAATCACAATCTAAAGCATTCTGAGGTCAGAGGTTAACACCCCTATGAGTGTGGTGTTGGATGGAGGCTGACCAGCACAGTTTTCCACAGCAGCAGCAGCACTTTCTTCATGGGGAAATGGGGGGCGCTCATGCTGCAGAACTTGGTTACCATGGTGAAGAGCAGAAGAGCAAAGGGTTCACCGTTGTAGAGTGGTGAGCCTGCGGGGGGGGGGAGAGGAAGGTTAATCACAGTGGACAAGTGGACAGATTCAACAGCCAACCACTCCAAGTATCTCTCTCACACACACACACACATACACACACACACACACACACATACACACACACATACACACACACACACACACACACACACATACACACACACACACACACACACTCACCCAGTTCGGTTTTGAAGGCCTCTCGTGCCGTCTGCCACTCCGGCCTGTCATCTTCCATTTCCACACGGATCGTCTCCACCATCAGATACATGATGCTCAGCAGAACCCTGAACAACACATGCCTTCACTGCTCTGGAGTTTCATATACATACTGTACCGTGCAAAAGATTTAAGCACCAGCTTCCAAGATCTCTACTACCTTTTTCGAGAAACAAGAAATTCTTGTCACTTTTTTTAATGGCATTAATGTTTATAATATGGGTCATTCTACGGAATTGGTTCTATTCTTATCTGTTCTTTTTAAATTACTGCAATCGACAGTGTGACAGAGTGTAACATTAAAAATGTGGCAGATAAAGATTAGCCTGAAAAATGCTTGAGAATTCCTTTAATATGACCTGCTTAAAGCCTGACACATTAATTTGGTCATAATTATTACATTTCTTTGATGATATAAATGTTTAATTAAAAACACACACAGGAACTCATCTGGGACATGTGAGAATTGGTCAGGATGCTCACGGCCCACAATAAAGCATTTAGTGTTTTTTTACATATTGCAAGCTTTAGCAATATCACATCTAAAAGACCAAATAATGTGATAATGAATAACTAGCAACTTTTAGTGCATTTCTTAGTGCACACTGAGAAATGAAACAGGGTTTAGTGCACTGTTCATGTTCCCAGATGTAGTAAAACCACTGAAAAATTAAGTGTGGACGTTTGTACTCAGTGGTCTCACTGAGTCAAATGGGAAGAGCCATCAGAGGAAGCAGAATTAAATTAAGAGCAAAACGTCTAGGGTGATCATCTTTTATTTTAACATTAGCAGTTATTTTTACTGAAGATATTCAGGCACGACTCACTAAAGTGAGCCAAGATAGATTTTTGTTAGTTTAAGAATGCAAATTTGGTTTTAATGCATTAAATTATCAAGAAACACATGTGAAAAGTGGTCACCACCCCTCCAAGTAGGGATCTACTTTTCTGCAAAGTTTAGTTCTGACCATCTGCACCACCCAACCCTCAAATAACACTACTGTACCTGATCCAGCCAATCAAGAACTTCTGAAGAAGTTAATTAGCCACAGCAGGTGTGGCAGAATGTGGTTGGAACTACACTTCACAGGACGGTAGATCTCCAGGACCAGGGTGGGTGACCACTGCCTTAAGAGGTCACCCAAGAACTTTTCAGTTGCAGTGGAACATGAGGATGTTTGTCATTTAGATTTAGTGCTTTTTGAGAAGATGCTACTAGATAGCACTAGATAATGAAGTCCATGGTGTATAACGTACGAACATAATGTAGTGCATAGTGCATGAACTGAGACACTGGGCAAGTCTCATCAAAATGCAGCCTGTGTTTTAGCAGCCTAATCAACATGGCAAACAACACTGGGTCTCTAATTATGTCCCATTTACCTACAGGGATTTCCTACTGAGTGCACAATCAATCAGCAAAATGCCACCGAAGTGAGAAGCAGAAGAAAAGGACAGTGCTCAGCACTCATGTACTGGCAGGTGAGGCTGGATTTAGCAATAATCTCCCAGTTTAGACCCTGCATAGTCCCTCTACTACACCCACAGCACTGAGGCTTACAGAGAGGTGAAAAGTGAACTGAGGGTTGGATGAGACGGTGAGCGTGTGTGTGTCAGCTGTAGCTGCAGACTGTGAGCAAGGTTACATCATGAGGGAAAACAGTTCCAGAGGGCGTCTCACCTGAGTTCTGTGCTGTCTGCGAGGGATATGGCAGGTTTCCTGACAGCACTGCTACACGCCTGGTTATTACTAGACCAGAATGACACACAAGAAACACAGCCACCGGTAAATTCATACTGCATCTGAATATTTCACTGTGCATCTTACAACACATGTAGAAGATGTTACAATTAAAGCAGGGAAAACTAAAGCAGTAGTTAGTTCAGCAACAATGAGCTTTACACAACTTTCTCCTGACCTCAAATGTAGTCAATCAGCCAAATGTGTTTGGTGTCTAGAGTTTGTTTCTTTATTTAGCTCTCAAGGTACAAGACTAATATAAATAACAACCCTGATAGCAAGCACATCAGTCCATTGACTTGATGAAGTCAGCATCCCACTGTCTGTATGCCTCTGCTGGTCCACCACCCAGATTCCTGTCCTGCATACAACACTTAACTACTTTCGAATTTCCTCAGACAGAAATGCAGATATCTTTTATACTGAAAAATAAAATTCAGCTAGTATTCATATAAAATGATTTTCTTGAAAATGTTGCTGACACTGTACTAGATTGATTACCGCTGTCTCGTCCGTATTATGAAATGCTTAGAGGATGCAGCTCGGCATTCTCATAAAGCCAATAAGAGAAGGCATGTACCATCCTCACAAGCTCGTTCAGGTGAAGACGGACTTTCAACAATCAACAAATAGACAAACTCCTCTGACACAGTAAAACATCTCTTAGCTAGCTAGCTTATTTCAAAAGTGTGGCTTTTCTAGGCTTTTCATATTTCTATCTCAAAATATGAGCACATATGCCTACAAATTACATTTTTCTCAATAATGTTAAACAGCACTTTATATGAGTTCTTGAGTTTTTTAACATAAGGAAGAATCCTCATAGCAGGAAATTTATAGAAGATCTTCAAAAGAAAAAATATTCTTAAAAGAAGAGACACTAAGAACTGAATGTGTGTGTTATTTACTTAATTGACTACTAATAAAAAATAATAAAGTAAATAAAGGATAAAGAAAGTAAGATAAATAAATTACAAGTAAATTGTGTGTGGAAAATGAGGGGTGACCAAGCAACATTGTGTCTAAACCTATGCTCAACTGCTGGTGGATTAATCGGGAAAACGATGAGAAAAAGCCAGCGCGCTGCTTGTGGCAGTCAACAGTGGCAGTCAACCAATTTTGTCGTCAGTTGGCCAGCAGTGGCCTGTTTCCTTCTTACTTTCTGTGAAGTAATGAAAGAATGGAGGCTTATAGTCATCATTTAGCATTGCGTCAAGCTGTAAAGTAAAACCAAATACACTTGCTTATGTACAGCATACCGTTATCTATAAAAATGAAAAAGTTGTATGGCTAAAAAACAGTAGTATCAGCCAACTTGAAGCCTGAATTTCGTCTTTCTTTTTATCCATTTTTGCAGATAACAGTATCATACTGTGTCTATTACCATATAATCAGGAGACAGTTAGCAGCATTAGCCTCGTAACTCCAGCGCAAAACTTCAGACACCAAACACATCTTGGCCAGTAACCCAATAATGAAATGTACTGAGATGAACTGTATAACGCACAACATGACATGTGAACTGTAGTGACATTTTCATCTTTAGAAAACAAACTAGCAAGAAGCGACAAAAAGGCCAGCAGTATTCAATTTAAAGCACTCCAGCATCCCTCTGAATTCCAGCTCCAGCACGCCTGATTCCACTTGATCACTCATTACTGAAGCTCTGATTAGCCGCTTCAGGTGGGCAGTGAATTCAGCAGTGCACATAATATCTAGAGGACTGACAAAAAGCAAAAGTAAGTGTACATCATGTCCTTTACTGTGCTGTCCTCTAGGTGGACATCCATCTTGGCATGTTTTTATAATCTGAGTCTTTGTAGGTTTTTCATCTACCCAAAACTAACCCAATCCAAACCCAAACAACAAGCTTCACACAGCCCCAACATCAGATGGTGCAGTAACAGCTGATGGCTGAAAGAGCCAAAGCAATTTGAAAAAGCTTGAAAGCAGAGCACGCTAGCATAGAGGCTAGCTTGTTTTTTGAAGTGGAGATCACAGGCCGCCCGCACTCCAAGCCACTTAGCCACAGTGTGGAGAAAAAAAGAGGGAAGGGAGAAGTGGAGGAAAAGGCGGGTGTCTCTTCTGCACAGTGGCTAATGGTTTCTTAGGCTAAGATGGCAACAGGTGCAGTGCTTCATCTGCATTCCCTTTTCATTCCAACTAAATTGAGTATGTTATACGATGGCATACAAAAAGGGCTTCAAAGCTTTCAGTAGGTGTGGGACAAATAATCAATGTAGCAATATATTGCAGAAGTCCCCCTTCAGTGTGAGACTTGAGTGATGCTAGCACCAAGAATTACAGTTTTCATTAAATGTACAGGTGCTATAAAAAGAAGGGGAATTCCAGTGATTTCTGTTTAATTCAGTGGCTGAGACAAAGTCATTCAGAGTAGTCTGATGTGAAATTTGCAGAGAAATATACAGACTCAGATTTCTTTAGCCATTTATATACTATTCAAAACCACCAGTGAATCTTGTCTTCTGAGTTTTTATGTAACATTGGTGATGGTAAAATAATGATTAAAAAAAAAAAGCTGAAAAAAAAGTTTTATTTGGCAACTATTTTGCCACCCTTTCCGTCCACCATGAATGGATGGAAATAAATTGATTAAAATACGTTTTAGACCAAAGCTTGTATCACAAAACTACTTTAAAACAATGTCACAGACACATGCGTGGTCAGAGTGGCAAGGCCCTGGCTAAAATCTGAATGGCCACCCAAGATGGCAGCCCCAACATTTTTGCCACGTCATTACCTCGCTGTGGGGCGGGTATTTGGGCCTTAAAAAGGAAAGGTGATCAGCAGAACAGGGCAGAGGGCTGGATAAACCCTGGACAGATCACCAGTCCATCACAGTGCAGACACACAGACATATATTCATTCACACACACACGCACCAATCACACCCATGGGCAATGTAGCATATCCAATTGGCCTGATTGCATGTTTTTGGACTGTGTGAGGAAACCAGAGTACCCAGAGGAAACCAAGAGTACCCAGAGGAAACCCACGCAGACACAGGGACAACATGCAAACTCCACACAGACAGGACCCTGGTCGCCCGGCCAGGGAACCGAACCCAGGCCCTTCTTGCTGTGAGGTGACAGCGCTACCCACAGTGCCACCATATGACCCAGTAACCTTATAGCATTTAAAAACGATATTATCCCAAACACTGTAAAGAGCAGCTGGCATCTTCAAATTTTATTAAAAAAAGTAAGTAAAAAATGAAAAATGGAAGTCACGAGGTTTAATTATAACAGCGACAACAACGCAGTGTTGAGCTCATTTCAAGGCAATACTGAGGAGTGTTGGGAAGGGCTTGCTGTACCAGGCTATATTCCTCAGCACTCAGCAGGCTTTTGGAAGGCCAGAGCAGAGCTGTCTCATTAGAGCAGCTCTGAAGAGAATGCCACAAATCCAGTGCCAGCAGTCAGGCCATGACAGAGCTGTTTCCAGCCTGCTCCCTCAGGAGACAGAGGGAGAGAGTAAAAATAGAATTCACTCCTCTCCACAGAGCTGTGAGGGGGGCTGGAGGGTCTAAGGCCGCTGCCCTCACACTCAGCACTGCTGTCGTGTTCTAGAGTGAAACACTTAACCTCAAGTTGCTCTGAAGCAGTAAGCTGCCCCTCATCCCTATTTGAATCCGGGTAGGCTTGAAAAAGAGAATCAAGGGCTTGATGGCCTGTTCCTAAATACACACACTCTCACTCTTCAATAGTTTGGGGACAGCGTTGTTGATTTGCAATAATTTAATATATAAAGGATTAAGCAGGTTTATTTTGAGTTAACAATATTACATGTAAATACTTGACAGTACTTGTCAGTGCTACCTTTAGAATAATGTCAAAGATCCTTGGTGTAATGTCATCACTCATCAGCAGGGATGGACAAAGTGCAAAACTTCTCTACTTAAGTAAACTCTTGATAAAGTTTTACTTGAGTTAGTACAAGTATTCTATCTACACTATGTGTCCAAAAGTTTGTAGACACCTGTTCATCTAATATTTCTTCTGAAATTAAGGATATTAATAGACAGTTTTTTCACCCTTTGCTGCAGTAACAGCCTCTACTCTTCTGGGAAGGCTTTGCATTTAATGTTGGAACAATGCTGTGAGGATTTGATTGTATTCAGCCACAACAGCATTAGTAAGACCAGGTACTGATGTTGGATGACTATTTCTGGATCACAAACTTCAACTCAATCCCAAAGGTACTAAATGGGGCTCCATCACTCCAGAGAACACAGTTCTACTGCTTTAGAGCCTAGTGATGGGAGCCTTATAACCCTCTAGCTGACACTTGGCTCTGGGTCCGATGTCCATAGGCTCAGGCTGACTGTTCCAAAGCATCCCATTCTATTGGCAATGCTTTTCTTTGGAGATTACACAAGCTGTGTGTCCAAAATTCAGCACTTGTGTTAGCAGTGGGAGCACCCTAAAGAAACTACACTCATAATAAGGAGGGATTTAGAAACTTTAGGACATGTAGTGTAGTACTGGCTAGTGTATGGACATAAGTATCAAAAGTAAAAGACTAATTTATTTTGTATTTGTAGTGGCTTTTTGCTGTGTCTGGTGTGTGGATGGGAGTTTTAATGCACTTGAAATTACTACAAATCAACTTAGGTGTGAAATGAAACCAAAAATATTACATTTACATATCAAATAAATAAACAAAGGTATTGCTATCCCATCTTGCTCCTCCCCCTGCAGTCCGTCTAGCAGATATAAGACTTTAAGACTTACTTGGTGTGTGTGTGTGGGGGGGGGGCTACCTATAAAGTACGTATATGACAAAAAAAAATCCTCTTATATTTACATAATGAATGTATACAAATGAACGCTTTATTTAAACTATAGATGAACAAGTTCTATTATGGAGAGCTGTGTGAGTGTAAGCATGAAAAACTACGTTGTCTGTGTCTGCAGTCACACAGGACTTCTTAATAGCACTTCTTCATCAGGATGAAAATCAACAATAGCTGAAAGTACTTTTTCCTTTTGATACTTAAGTACATTCACAAGCAAGCAAATACTTCTGCACCTTCGCTGAAGTAGAAATATGGATGAAATACTTGTACGCTTACTCAAGTAACATTTTACCAAAAGTATTTCTACTTTCACTACTTTTAAGTCCTAACATACTGTTCTTTGTCCACCCTCGCACATCAGCACTTAACCCTTTCAGGATGTTTGAGACCAAAAGATTTTCAGCACATGCTTTTAACAATAGTTTGGGAAAGAAATCTGTCAAAATCATTTAATAACTTCATTCTAAGGAAAAAACTTTGATGAACATTAAGCTGGGTTTTGCTGAACATACAAATGTTTAAAAAAAAAAATCTTACTGTATAGAAATCTTTTTAACACTACATATCTCAAAAAGTGCCTCTCTCCTCTTTTTCTCTTTGCCTCTCTCAGTACAGAGCCTGGCTCCATCATCGAGTCTCTGAACAGAAAATGGCTTTAATCAGTTAGTTGGGCCCTGAAGGACAACGTGGGTTTAAGGCTCTGAAGTTAGTGATTAGCACAGGGATCAAAGAGGACAGAGAGAGAGAATAAGAAAGGAGAGAAAGAAAGAAATAAGAGGACAGTGACATGATAGTTAAAAATGTATCATTTGTGACATTTAACATGCATGCACATACACGTGTACGCTGAATAACTCTAAAAAATACACACTCACTCGATCTCCATGCTGAGGAGTTCCAGAAGAGCAGTGAAGATGCCCATGTCGTAGAGCAGGAAGACATTGTGTCGAGACCAGTGGAGAACATCTGCTTCTGTGTCACACTCATCAAATACACCTTTATATACACAAACACACAAATCAGTATAACTGAAGCAGTCCAGCCTGATAATGCAGGAAGTTTGTTTCATAAAAGTAGGGGTGCTGTGGGGGCTGCAGCACCCCCAGATTTTAGGATCATTTAACTGCAACTAGTTGTGGGTACTAGTTCTATTGCTTTTATACAACAGTTAAATAAATAAAGTAAGCAACTGATAAATTGGGCCATGAACGTGGCATTTAATATTTCCATTTAAAATTCAAACAATTTAAGCCATATAGAAATTGAAACAACATTTAGATCAATGCTGTTTTTCTGCGCCTGAGGAAATAATGCTAGAAAGTAACATTTTGCACAATAAAAAATATTTCAGTTTTTTTGTTGAAAATGGTTCTAATTAAAAAGAAGGGACATTCCAGAATAATAAGCTACTGTTAACCTACAAAAATAGGTTTACATAAGCATCTAAAATGCTTTTATTTGAAAATATATATGTACACCATGAAACATGCCGAAACCTGCCGAAATGTTAATTATAAAGTGACCTAAATTCTTTGTCTTACTGCCCACTACTAACTGCAATTGCTAAAAATGATAACAGAAAAATAATAAAAGAACAGAACTTTTAAATATTATGATCATAACCAAGAACCATGTGTGCTGGGATGGACTTGGTATTTTGTTATATTTTTAGCCATGCACTTCTAAAAGTTAACGCTGTGGAAGTGAATTACTTTACTCGCTGCCTCAGCTGTTGGCGTGTCACTTGTGCATGTTGCTATGGCCATTTCACTAAAACACAAGCAGGAGCTTTAGGCTAGTTTTGTGCCCTGAAGTGGCCTATTATTGTTTTAGAAAGTTTCACCTACCACTTTTTTCAACCATTGTAATAATTTCCCACTAGATGTGCACATGCAGCTTGATTATGGGCCTGACACAAGCATTTCCTCACCTCACAATAACAATCTGACTGGTCAGCGCTCAGCTTATTTGCAAAAAAGTTTGCCCAGCAAGACAGAGCAGAGACAGCAGGGTGAGCACCAGCTGTGTTGCTGTGTCAGTTATATGTACAGCTGTATCTTGTCAACTTTCTCCAAACAATGAAAATGAAAAGAAAAAAAAATAGCATGATGTCATGGTTTTGTTACATATATTCTGCTAAAAATTTCACCACCCCTAACTTACAACACCTTCCTGCATTGCTGGTTTGTTCTGTTCACACAGGTGGTGTTCAAAATATTGGAAACAACACATGGAATACATGATATTAGTATTAGTATTTAATATTAGTAATGGTATTTCAGAAACACCTATAGTTTTATACTTTACTTTTACTTTATACTTATACTTTTGGTAGGTTTACAATTTCTGACTGTAGCCCAACTGTTGATGTGCAGTTCATCAGCTCCTCTCTACCCCATCCATCAGGGGGAAAGGACCACCCCAGAGCAGGTATAATTTGGGTGGTGGCTCATTCTCAGCACTGCAGTGACACTGTCAAGGTGGTGGTACGTCAGTGAGTGTTGCGCTGGTATGAATGGTTTAGACACAGCAGCGCTGCTGGTGTTTTAAACACTGTGTCCACTTACTATCCACTGCATTATTAGACATACCCTGTTGGTCCACCTCGTAGATGTAAAGTTAGAGACTGTACCTCATATTTTTTTCATTCCTTGTGTGTTTGCTGTCTTCTAGGCCTTCATCAGACATCAGTTTCTGACCACAGAGCCACTCTTAGCTGGATGTTTTTGTGGAGGACCAGTCTCAGCTTAACAGTGACACCGATGTGTTTAAAAACACCAGCAACACCGCTGTGTGTAATACACTCATACCAGCACTACCCACACCACCGTGCTGGTGTCACTGCTGTACTGGTTCACCAGCCAAATCATATCTAGTCAGTAGTGGTCCTGCAGTGGTTCCTTTCCAATGATAGATAGGGTTGAAGGGGGCTGATAAATTGTGCAGCAACAGATGAGCTTCAGCCATTATTTTCACCTACGAGTTGCACCCCTGTAATTGTTTTTTTATAATGAAATGGCCAAAGTGTGAGTATTTCATGTGATTCTACAGGGAGATTCACTCGAAAGAGGCCCCGAATATTCTGTAATGACTCTCACTAGGACAAATCAATCTGAACGAAACAATGTGCAATGTGTTCCTCAGTGTATGGAGCTTTGAACAAGCCAGGATGCCCCTGCGTCGGAACGACGAGGTAGGCGCCGGACAGCCATCATGACGTTTAACCTCTTTAATGCTTGCCGATACGTTCAGGAACATGGGACACCATGTCGAAATGTGTCTGGCAGAAAACTGAGATCACTTCCAGCATTGCATGTAATGCAATCGATTACACAAATGTCAAGGTATTTAGCACATTTTTTTGGTTCAGATTGCTTCATCCTGACGGGAGTTATAGCAGAATATTCGGGGCCTCTTTCAAGTGAGTCTCTCTGTATTATTCTCTACACCCCCTGTAGTCTAATACAGGACAGAATGGAGGTCTTATATATAACTGTATTTATTTATTTTTTCTCTGAAATGTGATCTTGCTATGGAGAGGAATTTATGCCAAATTGAAAAGCAATTACTACAGTGGAAAAAGGTGAAATGCAATTCGCACAACATTACTTTTCCATAGTGACATGTAGAATATGTGCCAAAATGAAAAGCAAAACTTCTGTTTTCATGTTACTTGTCCTCTTTACTGAAAAAAAAGAAATGTTGAATTTGTGTCAGAAATAAATGTAATCCACCTTGAAACGTATTCAATACAGCTATAATGCTTTCCACCCTGCATTTAAACAACTTTAAATCATTGTAATAAATGTTTTACTTTTCATTTTGGCACATTTTCCACGTCACCATTTAAACACAATCTTGTGTTCATTGCAATACACTTTTTACTGTTGTGGTTGTATTTCAATGAAGTGTATATACCTGAAGTACAAAAGAGCAGGTAAATGAACGTTACAACATTGTAATAGAGATTTTACTTTTCATTTTGGCACGTATTTCACATGACACTATAGAAAAGTAATAGCATGTACACACTGTATGTCACAGTTCTCACTGTTATGTGTATTTCAATAAGGTGTATGTGTACAAAGTGGAGGAAAGCAATATAGCTATATTTTGATTACATTTCAAGGTGGATTGTATTCATTTCCGACAGCAATTCAGCATTTTAATTTTCATACAAATCCTCATCTATTATCATCCAAAGAAAAGTTATGCAACTGTGAAAAAGTTGTAACCCAGGTTTTGCTTTTTATTTCGTCACATATTCCGCATGACACCATGGAAAAGTAATGTCATCTGTGCATTTCATTTCTTGCTTCTCCACTATAGTGACTCCATTTCAATTTGGCACAAATTACACTCCATACCTTTCTAAAATCTTCATTAAATTAGCATAAATGTTTTAGGCCTACGATTTCTTCCTGTATTGCTTAGAAACACTGCAACTTAACAAGCTTAGCTGCCTAGAGTGCTGTATCCTGTAAGGACATACGACTGGACAGATGTTGTCCTGCTAAATACTTCCATTTAGCCATATTACAAAAGGTTTATCTGGCTGGTGACACTGTACTACACATTCAATTCAAATGTGTAGATAATTTCCACATGAATAAAATATACCACACCAACACAAATTTATCTCTAAGTTTACTTACTTTTGCCAATATTTGTGTTGATGTGGTATATTTTATTAATGTGGAAATTATATACACATTTAAATCATACAGAGCCCCGCTGGTGACATCCTGTATACATAAAAAATAATGTGTGGCCATGACTTAGTAAGGCATGGGAATGAGATGATTAAGAACGACTTAGTAAAGCGTGGGAACGAGATCCTAATGCATGGCCACGACTTAGTAAGCCGTGATCTCATTCCCACGCCTTACTAAGTCATGGTCACGACTTAATCATCTCATTCCCACGCCTTACTAAGTCATGGTCACGACTTAATCATCTCATTCCCACACCTTACTAAGTCGTGGCCACGCATTATTTTTATTTATACAGGATGTCACCAGCGGGGCTCCGTAGAATCACATAAATTCAATGTGTCATTTCTTCAGTTTACTGCAGGTGTGAATGTACTGTGTGCATTAGTTTCCTATCCATAATACAGGCCAGCTAAATCATTTCTGATAATAACACAAAGCACTAGCTGAAATATTGGATGTCTGGACACTCGACACAGGAAAACAGAAAAGGGCAGCAGTTGATTTGAAGTGTTTGTTAGCATGGACAGAACACTGCAGCTGTTTTGCTTTGCTTCAGTTTAACAATAGACATTATTTGACCAGTTAAACTGCTTGTTAGCACTTAAAAGTACATTTTCAATGACAAAACATTCACGGGGTCTATGGAACGCTTCAGAGCCCTAGAATTAATAAATGAGTTTTCTTGCTATAGTGTTGTGTGTAAGGTTCAGTACCCTGAGCCAGGTAGAGGATAGCACGAGCCACTTTGAGTCTCTTTTCTCTGTCGGTGACCTCCAGAGCATCCAGCAGCCTCATGACATATGCCCTCTGGTCATCCACACTGAGCTCCACCCATCTCCTGCCCTTCACTGACAAACAAACACACATGGACAGAGAGAGACATGAACATCTGTAAACATACACTTTCAAACACCCCCAATTTCACTCTCATTTTCTCTCTTCCTCTCTCTTTCATTCACACGTGACAAAGATTAGCGAGAGGGATTAGCATTCAAGAAGACATTCATGAATAAGGCAGGTGTACATGCTTGTCACGCACATACTCACACGCTCACACAAGCACATGTACGTGAACACGCACACGTTCATACTGTACCAGTCAAACATTTGGACACAACTGATCGAATGAATGTTTTTCATGATCTAATACTTTAATTTAAAGACTAGTGTTGTAGTCAAGACCATTTTGAGGCGAGTCTGAATCAAGACTAAGACCTGGAGTGGTGAGACTGACACAAGGCCGAGGCCTGATTGAGATTTTTTCAGAATATAAAAAGCAGAAAAGAGAAAAAGTGAAATTTGTTTGTGGTTTATTATAAATACATTATCATTGATTATCCTATATTATACTTATTAATAAATAACAATATAATTAATGTTTAAATTCATAAAGTATAATGTTAAAGAGTATACCACCTGAAAATATTATTATTATTATTATTATTATTATTATTATATTATCAAGGAAATGATGGTGAAGTTATTTTCAGTATCTTCTTCTCTAAAACTTATTCAGAATCACCACCAACTAAAGTCAACTGAATATGAAAAGAACAACAGTAGTAATAACAATATTCTCATCTGCCCTCAGAGGATGTTTACATTTTAGAAACTAATAAACATCAATAAACAAATTATACCCAGTTAAGCCATCAAAGAAAGATCAACTGGCAGTGAACACATTTTATTTAAACATGCTGAGAAAAAAACTACTTTATTCTGTTTGAAGGTTCTGTTGATAATCAATAATCAAAGAGAAAAAAAAAACTAATTTGCTCAGGCGGAGGCTCAGCACTCGGCTGGTTTCAAGAACAGACCAAGTCCAAAAGATGTCGAGACTGAGACAAGACTGACCGAGAAAAGACTGAGACAAGACTGAGACCGTGACAAGACTGAGACAGCCTCGAGACAAAACCAAGACCAAGACAAGACTGAGACAGCCTCGAGACCGAGAAAAGACTGATGTCATTGTTATTCTAAAATGTGGAAAAAAGGAAAAACAAAAAAACACTTCCAGGAGTGCGCATGTCCAACCTTTTTTTCCTGATACTGAAATCTTGAGTATTGACT